TTTCTGTTGAGAAATCAGCTGACAGTCGTATGGGTATTCCCTTGTAGGTAACTGAGTTTCTTTCTCTTGCTGCTTTTAAGATTCTCTCTTTGTCTTTTGCTCTTGGCATTTTAATTATGATGTGTCTTGGTGTGGTCCTCTTTGGATTCCTTTTGTTTGGGGTTCTCTGTGCTTCTTGGACCTGTAAGTCTATTTCTTTCACCAGGTGGGGGAAGTTTTCTGTCATTATTTCTTCAACTAGGTTTTCAATATCTTGCTCTCTTTCATCTTCTGGCACCCCTATAATTCTGATGTTGGTATGCTTGAAGCTGTCCCAGAGGCTCCTTACACTATCTTCGTATTTTCGGATTCTTTTTTCATTTTGCTTTTCCGGTGGGGGGGTTTTTTGCTTCTTTGTATTTCAAATCTTTGACTTGATTCTTGCTCTCCTCTGGTCTGCTGTTGGGAGTCTGTATAGTATTCTTTATTTCAGTCGATGTATGCTTAGTTTCTAGTTGGTTCTTTATCACAACATCGAGGGTCTCATTAGATTTCTCGAGGATCTCATTAAGTTTATCGGCGGCTTCTAGACAGTTCTTGAGAGACCTTAAAAGTGTGGTTCTGAACTCTATATCTTCCATTGACAATTTTGTCCTGTTTCTTTGTCTCCGCATTTTGTTATGCTTTCTTGGTGCAACCCCTAGTGGTCTTTGTGCGCAGTCTTGTAGTTAAGCCTTGATTGTTGTAGCTAATACTAGGGGGGATTTGACCTCCAGGCCAAGTGGCTGTGAGAGTCAGCTGTGTCTGCAGTGAGAGAACTTCTGTCCTCTAGGGAGGTGCTAATCTGGCGTTTGCCTGAGGCTATCCGGCAAATGCCTCTGTGCAGGGCTTGGGCGGGGCGGGTGGGTCACACAGGATCAACAGGGTGGGCCGGAGAGAGCAGTTATGGCTGCTCTCAGTCCTGTCCCCAGGGGCTCTGCCTCTCTGAGTCCCAGCAACCGCTGCAAACCTCGGAGAGAAAGCTGCACTCACTCCGACCGAAGCCAGGCAGTCCCGCTTCTCCCGTTTGAGTCAGGGTCCCTAAAGACTCGCCCGGATCTGGAGCTCAGAGTCTGCGACTCCCTCCTGATTGAAAACGCCAACCGCGCCCTCCGCCGCCAGCCCACTCTGCATGCACTCCGCACCTCAGTATTTGACTTCAGCACTGTGCCTCCTCTGAGTGTCGGTATGCGTTTCTCTTTCCTCCTAGTTGTGGGACTTCCACTCAGCCAGTGTTCCTGTGGTTCTGGGTGATGTCCGTTCCATCTTTTAGTTTCACTTTCGAAGTGGTTGTTCGAGGCAGCAAACTTCGGTGTTAACCTATGCCGCCATCTTGGTTCTCCCCTAGAACAGCTTTTGTTCAGAAAAACAATGTAAGTGGGTATGCTAAGTTACAAAACAATAGGTACTTCCAATGTGGGCTGATGAGAAGTCTCAACAAAGAAGAATGAAATTATTTGTTTTGCATAGAACAGGATTTTTTAAAGCATTCCCCTTAGGTGAGGAAGACAGGGTTTTAGTGGATCACAGAATGGGGGGAGAGAGGTGAAGTGGGTGGCAGGGGGGAAGAAAGATCTGAGCATTATCAGTAGGCAGGGCCCTAGAGGGAAAGGTGGCCAGAGAAAAGTTGGCATGCCAGCGATGGCTAGGGGATTCTAAGACAGTGATATCTAGCATCCACTCTGAAAAAATATTATCTACTATAGAAAATCTCAAGCATATGCTAAACAGACTAGTATAAAGAACCTCCATGTACCATGCCCAACTTCAACAATTAACTCACAGCCAATCTTGTTTCATCTAAAATGCACCATCCCTTCCCATAAATTATTGTGAAGGAAATTCCAGACCTGGTATTTCATTGGTAAACATTTTAGTATAGCATTCAGTTTTAAGTAGTCACCTATTCTGGGCTGTACTATTGTTGGACATTAAATGAAAATTCACACCGGAAGGCTCTTGGAGACATGGTGGGCACATCCACTCAGATGGCAGACTGCTCAGGTTATACAGACATTTGAACTTGAGCAATTTTTTCTGCTAGCTAATTCTGTACACATTTCAAACGCCAGCAACAGCCAACATTTTGCACTATCCACACTAGCTTAAAGAAAACAGGAGCCTTTTACAGTGTTGTTTTTGTCTTTTTCTCTTTAGAAAAAAACATTAGTTCAGGGAGAATGAAAACAGTTTATAGCTGAATTCACATCAGTGTTTCCAAAATAAAATGGTCATAGGAACTCAATTCTCCGCATCCATTTTCTAGACTAAGGGGTTAACCTTGCCCTTCGGGCTTTCATGAGTGCTCTCGACACTTGGTGATCCCCCTGGATTGTTCTACCCTCTTACCAAAGGCCTACTGTCAGCGGTTTAAAAAAAACAAATTAATGTCATTTCTTTCCTGAATTAAAAGTCATAATAAATCTCCCCCACCCCCTCGTGAATTTTTCTGACACCCATGAAGAATTTGCCTTTCAAAGTCCTGTCTTCTTCTCTCCTTTCCTTAAAGCTTCCCTTGACATCTGCCTTCCAGGTAAGACAACACCCTTCAGAGCTCATAATCTTGCCAGTTTAGTCTTCTAAATGGTTTTTTTAATCACCAATAAAATCTTTGCTCACTCAGCACTCTAAGCCACCCTCTCCTCTGAGAACTGAGGTTTGCATACTTGCTAAGGATCCCATAATGCCGCCTAGCCTCTGAGGTGCAAGGGCCCCACAGAGAAAAGATAATCCTCTCCTGCCGTCCTGGTTCTCAGGCTCCGAGCACGTATCCGAATACCTGCAGGTCTTGTCAGCACAGACTGCTGGAGACGCGGATTTAGCTGCTCTGGGTGGGCCTGAGAATGTGCATTTATATGCAAAGATGAAAATGGCCTTGTCTCTGGCATTGCAGTGCGATGGGTAAATCACTCCTTTCGTCCAGGTAGTACTTTAGGATTTGAAAATTGCTCTCATACCCACTAGATTTTTTTAAAAAACTAAACCACATCACAACCCTTGGAGGGAAGTAAGATCCATATTTAGGGTCGGAAAAACCTGCATTTGTATTCCAGCTCTACCAAATATTAGCTCTGTGATAGTGGACAAGTTACTTAAACTCTCAAAACCCGAGTTATCTGCAAGAAGAATCAAAACCTCCCAGGTAGATAATGCCCCTGTTTGTGAAAATGCTTTCCAAGCTGCAAAGTGTTCTATGAATACATAATATCAGAGAACAGACAGCCTGTGGTCGGTGTCAGATCGGCCACCAGAGCATTGTGGGAGCAGAGAAGAAGCAGTTGAAAAAGGTTTTTTTTGGTTTGTCTGTTTGTTTGTTTGAGTTTGGATTTTTTTGGCATTTTATATGTCCCTATTTTATGAGAGGCACTGTGTTATTGACAAAGGAGAACTGAAACAATTATTAAATAGCAAAGCTAGTAATTATAGACCATGAACAAACCTTCTGGGCTGTGTGTCAATGTTCTCATCTGCTACTCCTCACCCATCTTCTTACCCGGGCTGCTGCTGGGGGAGGGGCCACCAGGTCTCCCACTTTTATGGGAGCAGCTACTGCTCCAAGGCACATGCCCTTTCCACATTCCTTGCTGACTCCTTGTACCTGCAATCCCCGCTGAGGCTCCCATCTGCTCTCAGGAAGAATGCAGTCTGACCTATGTCCATAAGGTTGAGATGCAAATGCATCACAAGGACATAGTTCTTTTCACTAGAGGGTACAGGTCAGCATCCTGGCATTCCTCCTTCCCTCTTTCCCTTGTGAACTGTCACCGTCTACTTGTGGCTGTTTCACAATTTGTGGAGCAGGCAGTGAAGGTGAGGCATCTTGACATGGGGCCGAGCATTCTTGCACAAGGGGAGGCATGCTATGTGTCTGCTTAAGGCATTCGTGAAGAAAGGTGGAATTCCCTCTAGGCCCTAAAAGTTTTCAAAAGACAAGGAATTGAGCGGATAAAGAAGGTATTAGGAGATGAAGGATACATAGGAAAATGCATGAGGAGTTGGAGGGTACAGAAAGGTGATTACTCTCATGACACAGGTGGAGAAGGAGTTTAAAGCTGCATTACAGAAAGCTTTGAGTAGCAGGGAAAGGAAGGGAACATGATTCAGTGGGTAGCCAAGTAGTTCAAATCAGCAACTCCATATGCTCAGATCACAAACACTGGGCTGGGGATCGGGGAATGAGGAATTACAGAACACACTTTCCCTCTCCTTCCCTTCTTGCTAAACACGCCTGGATGTTTCAGCCATGTCTCATTTATCATATCCAGAGATATGATTTTCTTTCTCTCATCAAAAGAGAAGCACATGGCATTACCAAAGGCACTTGAATCATTTAAACAAACAAACTCTAAATGGATGGATAAATTTAATTCCCCACCCCGGGTCTCTTTATCTTACTGGGTAACTTTATTGGGAGTGTTTGAAAGAAGGTCAAGTTTAAGGTCCAAGTGGGTTCTCACTTGTCTATGATGTCACAGCTTGGAGCCCTGGTCACATTTAAATCCTTCATCTCATTCTGACTTGGGATTGCTCTGATTTATAGTTGAACCTGATCCATTGTGTGTTTTCCCCCTGAGGGAATTTTATGGATGCCAGCCTGAAATTCACACCCTCTCTGCTGCACCCTAAAATGTGTCACATGATTGTTTGCATTTTCTTAAAAGTTTCTTTTTTTCCTTTCACGGTAATGATAGTTAAGCCCTCAAGGACCATTACATTGTTGTTCCTTCCTTTCCATTTTCCCGAGCTGGAAAGGTTAAGCTGTCCGTGGCTGATGTGTGCACACCTGGGGGATCATTTGTGGATTCACTAAGCCCATATTGTAGGTCTCATTAGCAGCAACACAACAGAAAGACACTAATAAAGCCCCACTTCTCCTAATAAAGGGCTGGTGCTATTCCACACGAAAACCATGATCAACCACGCTGTACACACAAGTCCCACCACCTGCGGTTTATATGGGAGCTCTCAGGAGCTCACAATCCCTCTACATGTCTTATTATTATTGTCTACAAAACTCCTCAGTAGCTTCTCCGTCCCCAAACCCTGCAAACACTTTCCAGTGTGTGCCTCCGTCATTTCCTCTTACGGTGGAACACGGGCACCCGAGGAAAAATAAGAACAGATTGGATTTTCCCTTTGTGTGGAAACACATTTCATTTTGCTTACAAAAGTGAGAGGTCTGCCGGAGCTCGGCTGATGAAACAAGATGTTTTGATTTGAAGAGGTTCTTCTTTCACGAAGCGCGGTGTGGAGGCAGAGGCAGAGTCATTTGAAAACAATTTGTATTGACTGTGACTCATTAGAAAGGATGTCGCGTCCTGGCATTTCATCACCGAGCAGGGAATCATTCCCTTATAGGGCCGCGGGCTCAGATGTGACTCAGGAAAGGGAAAATGGACTTCTGTGGGAAATCTGCTACCTCAGCCAGGACCCAATGAAGCAAGTACATATGCGACACCCTCTGCCGCTGCCATGGGTCACTTCCCGTGGTATTGGAGGAGAAAACGTGGCTGTGTGGCTCTGAAGATTAGAAAGACAAGAAAATGCAGATTTTTACTTAGAAGGACTAACATAAACCAAGAAGACTATGCCCTTTGTTATTATTTTTTAACTGTTTTTATTGATTTCAGAGAGGAAGAGAGAGATAGAAACATCAATGATGAGAGAGAATCATTAATCAGCTGCCTTCTGCACACACACACACACACACACACACACACACACGATTGGGGATCAAGCCCACAACCTGGGCATGTGCCCTGACGTGGGGAATCAAACCGTGACCTCCTGATTTATAGGTCGATGCTCAACCACTGGGCCACGCCTGCAGGCTATGCCCTTTATTATTAAAGTTTCAGGAATTATAAAGGGGGGAGGAACATACAGAAAGTACCCATACCTATGTGGGCACTATAAAAATAAAGTACATTTTACTGAATCATGGTTTTTTATGAAAGTCTCTAAACTGTGATATTTTTCATGAGGTGAATTATTAATAAGTGAAAGACCCTAAAACAGAAGTTTTACTGGACTACTTTTGTCCTAGACTTCACAGTCCAGGGTGAGAACAGGTAATGTATGTCTAAGCTTATTTAAAAAATAAGAGGCTTTCTAATACCACTAATATCTCACACCAGAAAAAGATTATTCAGTGACATTTTTAAAAATCTGACAGCCCATGTCTTCATAGCAAAAATTGAATATAAAATTATAAAAAAAAACCTTGTAATTTTATTTTTTAAATTTTTTAAAAAATATATGTTTTATTGATTTTTAGAAAGAGAGGAAGGGAGAGAGAGAGAGAGAGAGAGAAACATTGATCAGCTGCCTCCTGCATGTCCCCAATCGGGGATCGAGCCAGCAATCTGGGCATATGCCCTGACTGGGAATTGAACTGGTGACCTCTTGGTGCATGAGTCAATGCTAAACTGCTGAGCCACACTGGCTGGGCAACAAAAAATAACTTACAATTTTTAAAATGAAAAATGAACTGGAAAACAAAAAAACAAAAAATCATGAACACTCTTCTACTTGCTATTAACTAGTTTCTACCATGCTCTGGTCTCCACCATGATCTGTTTTCTAATGTGCCCGTCAGGGATGAAAGGGGCCCTCCCCTCCTAAACATCCCACACATGCCCTCTCTCATGCTATCCCTCCCGGGAAGTATTCAGAACCGTAAGAGGCGGGGACAATACCCTTTAATAGAAAAAAAGTCTCAGTTTAGATAATACATAATGCCTTGCAGTTTGGGGATGATTTGACAGATTAATGGCACTATAAGGTGGTTAAGATCCAGCCTTCAGCGAAGATAAATAATGTTGACTCACTGTTCTTCCAAAACCAAGGACAGAGCTGTGCTACAGTTCATGGCTGGGAAGATAACCAGTATTCAAATTGACTGACAGCCAGAAGAAGGATTATACGTTTGTTCCCTGATGAATGTGGTAGATACAGATGAAAAATCCTGAAGGTGAGCAGGGTGGAAGGTGGGTGTGAATGAAAGAAAACCTCAGACTGAAGGTACAGGGAAGAGCTGAACAACAAAGAGGCAAAGAGGCAAAAAGATGAATGCTGTAGTCTGATCTCTACAAAAGGATTTCAGGTTGAGGCGGGTCTCCCAGCCCTGGGGCAAGATGTTCAGTTCGAGTGAGAGCACTCTGTGCGAACCCCATGCTCAGCCTCCGTCTGGGGAACCACTTTCACGGGCAGGTGGTTCTGTTCCTTCATGGCTCCAGCTGAAGGAGGGAGTACGCCTGCTGAAGAGCTGATCACAAAACTGGAGACATTGATACCAAAGTGCTGACTCCTGAGGGCTTCAGAGAGTGAAAGAAGAAACAGCAAGGAGATTGGTGGTTATTTAGGGCTGGAGGGGGTAGGAGGGTAGGGAGTGATAACCAAAGGAAATTAGGTTTCTGCCATTCTCAGATCCACTGCAGTGATGGCTGCACATATCTGTGAAAATACATGTTAAATGAGTGACTTGTATGGGATGTGAACTACATATCAATAAAGCTTTTTTTCTAAGCCTATAAGAAATTAGAGACAAGAGTCATGTGGTGTGAGAATAAGCTTTAACACAGCAACCTCGCAGGGCTGGGAGGTAAAGACTGGGTACCACTGATTCTGGCAAAGAAAAGTATTACCAAATGCTAAGCATAGAACCACAGGGAAACTTGAACTTGTGCTATTGCATATTTCACGCCTCCTTGGGGAGTCGTGCCTCTCTCGTGGTCTAGATACCACTGTTTCCCAAGTCCAGTGGCCTTGCCCTCCTGGAGCTCACCAACTACGGGGGCGATGAATCTGAATGTAAGGTAGAAGCTGTAGGATAAATCACAAGGGAACATTTTCCATGTTTCCCTGCAGAATAGGGGACCAATTAAAGGGGTCAATTATCCTGTTCTATCTGTAGAAGGCATTTCTCAGAGGGGAACTGGAGGCTGGAAAAGGTTCCTTGTTCCTTTACATAATTAGGACAGCACCTACAAGACTTGTACTTTCTGGGTGTCCCCAAAAACTCCTCACATAGGGTTGGCATTAGTAGAAATTTAACAAATACTTTCTGCTTTTAATTATATTGAATTCCAAAAAGGGAGCTTAAAGGTTAGGCATTTTATGACGGGTGTGCCTTCTACTTCCAAATGTAATAGCTAGAATATAAACCGTAGGAAAGGAAAAGTATTTATTAAACACCAAAGCTCCTTTGAGAAATGACTTAGTCGAGTTTACTGGTTATCATTAGTTTTATTAAAATGGCTAGGAAAAGGCTGACCTGGCAGATGTCTGTAACCATACAATCTTTAGTGTGGAATAATGTCCTGTGTTATACTGTGTAAATGCAAGGACTTTCCCTGGGAGTCCAATAGCTTTAGCAACGGCTCCCTTTTCAAACATGCCAGGAAAGATGTGTTGCTTTGGGTTACAGACACTGGAAAATCAACAGACCAAAACACCCAGAGGAACTGAGTAGAGAGAGGACTGAGCCTGGTCATCCTGTGGTGTCTGAAGAGCTGCAGAGTGACAAAGCCGACCGCAATGTCCTTGAACAGTTCTCTGCCCACTCCCCGGCCACCACCACCACACCCCTGCAGGGCCCTTCGCACATGGTCTGTCAAAATGCTGAGGAAAAGAGCCCTAACTGGTTTGGCTCAGTGGATAGAGCGTCAGCCTACGGACTGAAGGGTCCCAGGTTTGATTCCGGTCAAGGGCATGTACCTTGGTTGCGGGCACATCCCCAGTAAGGGGTGTGCAGGAGGCAGCTGATGGATTTTTCTAACTCTCTATCCCTCTCCCTTCCTCTCTATAAAAAATCAATAAAATGTTGTTTTTTTTAAAAAAAAAATGCTGAGGAAAAGAGATTCAACATGACGTCAGGCCCAAGTTAGAGACATATTTCACAGAGCCACAGTTCAAAAGAAAAAAATGAACTTTGACCTATTTGACCTCTACACATGAGAATGGAGCCAGACCCTTTCAGATACCAAGTGTTCTTTCCGTGTGCCTCTGCAAGGACCAAATGCACTGGGCAAGTGGGTTAATTGGTCCCTTATGGGGAGGGAGTTCTCATGGGTATTCACTGTGAGTGCTCTGTGGGTGAATAAGTGGTTGGGGAAAAGCCAAGCAACTTCTTCCTTTGTGCACACTGGCAGTTCTACCAGCTCTGAACACCACCGATGCCTCACCAAACATAACGGGGTCTCCTTAGACTGCTTCACATACGCTCTTTGAGTCAAGCCATCCCTGTCCTCTGCACACTCATCTTGAGGATAACACATCATTTTGAGGGCATAACTAGTTTATACTTCTTAAAATACTTGCAGGCATGTTTGATCTTCATACCTGAGAGAGGCGTTCTCAGGGAAAAGTAACTGAGTTTTCTTGACCACTAAAGTATGTTTCTTTATGTTACCACAATAAACAAAATTTAAGTCTCAAAAAAAAAAAATCTTTCTAAAATACATTGCAACAAAGAAATATAAATTAAAATAAGAATAGTAGGAATTTTCAAAAAATGTTTGCCTATTATATTAAGGACTTTTTATTAAGTTACTAGAGTCCCAGTGCACGAAATTCGTGCACAGGGGGAGAGGGGTCCCTCAGCCCGGCCTGCACCCTCTCACAATCCGGACCCCTCAGGGGATGTCTGACTGCTGGTTTACGCTTGATCCGAAGGTATCCCTGTGGGATGGGTCCTAAACTGGGAGTTGGACATCCCTCTCAAAATCCAGGACCACTGGCTCCTAACCACTCGCCTGCTTGCCTCATTGTCCCTAACCACTCTGCCTGCCTGCCTGATCGCCCCTAACCACCTCTGCCTTGGCCCCTGCCATGGCGGCTTCATCAGGAAGGTCGTTTGGCTGTCCGGTTTAATTAGCATATTATGCTTTTATTATTATAGATAATACCCATTATAATACCCAGGTTCAGAGAGCAGCAAGGGAAAGGATTCCCACGGACAATGCCGAAGAGATTGTGAATTTTGACATTTGGGGGAAGTGATTTGATAATATGGATCCAAAGCCTTATACATGTTCAACTCCTTGACCCCACAATTCTTTCATGCTTTTAATATTATTTGAATGCCTGCCAAGTGCTAAAAACTCAAAGTACAATGAAGAACAACACAGGCCAGCTCCCTGCCCTCAAGAAGCTTACATTTTCATGAAGAGAGAGAAAGACAATGAAAAATCACACGGGTAAATTCAGACAGTAATAAATCCTAGGAAGAAAGTAAACCATAGCTACGATGGAGCCTGTAGGTGAGACAGGAAGTTGCTTCTCTTGGTGTCATGAAAGACCCCTGTGGCCAAGAGGACCTCAAACAGTCAGCTTCCCACTTACCCTATTAAGAGAGCCCCAAGAGAAGAGAAAACCAAGCCCACCTTTCCTGGCCTTCCCGAAGACCAGGATAATGTGGGGGATGTAAAGGCAGTTGTTAGAGCTTCCAGAAACAGTTATTTGAAGGTGAGACAGTGTCAGGTCAACCACATGTAACTGAAAAAAAGATAACTGAAAAAAACACACACAAAAAACTTGAATTTCAAAAGAGATACATTAATGGTAAGGAAAAGAGCAATTCTGGCTTAGCTATGGCTCTGAAAATATACATCTTCTGCTTCCTGTACCTTTTTAGTTATGAAGCTTTAAGTGAAATTGTTCAAGGTTTAGTAGATACTTCTTGCTTGGAGGAGTTGGGAGAGAATAGTATGGAATATATAGATGCTATAATTCTCTGTGCTAATATGTATTGAAAAATTGTATAACACAGGATAGCAGCCAAGTGGGATAGAAAGAATATTGGAGTGGGAGTCCATCGACCTGGCTTCCAGCCCTAGTTCAGCTCTAAAAGGCGGTGCAGTCTTGGCAACCAGTCACTTAACCACGGAGCCGATCCTCTTCCACTTCAAGTGAGGAAATTGGACGAGCTCGTCTCTAAGGCCTCATCCACCTCTGTAAGCCCATTTCTTCTCTTTTCCCTCCATCTACTATTAACATTACACACACACACACACACACACACACACACACACACACACATAAATATATAGGCTGAAGATTAAATCCCACTAGGACTTTAGAATGAACCAGTCCAAAGAGAGGAAAAATTACAATCGTAAAATAATGACTATATATGCTCAGAAAACTTAATACAGATTTTAGGATGATAAAAGAATGTGTCTATAATCTTTACATGTAAGATATTTTATATGTATGAATAATGTACCTTGTAGCTAAATCAATAATCAAGGCTTATATTTGTAGAATGCTTTCGTGTTTCCAAAGCAATTTTATGTCATATCACTTTCACTTTTGAGCCTCCAACAACTTTAGGAAATCGGTAAGGCAATAAGAATTATTTCTTCACAAATAAATAGATGGAGACTTCAAAGTGTTAAATGACTTGCCCAAGTTTACATAGCAACTGGGACCTTGTCCGGTTCTCCAGCATTTATTCCCACCTGCCACAATGCAGGGCCACTGGAATGACTGTGGCCCAGGCTATTCCCTCGCCCCTCACTTCACCCTTCTGTTCCACCCATTCTCACAGCTCAGCTGAAATCACTGAGGACACCAGAGCAGTGAAACAACAGGATACCCAAGCTTCCCTAAGATAGAAGCTATCACAGAGACACTCAACCAGCTGCTCCACTGTCAACTTGCAGAGCAGTCACATCTCAGTGTCTTTTCTTTCTTTAATTTCAGATAGGAAAATAGAATGCATAAAATAGGTTACACCCCTTCGTTTAAAAATAATGGCTAGCATTATATATCCATCATTCGTAATGGAACTCATCTTGAATGACAAAACGGCCTACCTCTGCACAAAACAGTTCATTTGATTTCTTTCTGCCCTTGGTTTGTCGCCCACTTTCAGTATGCCTAACAACCCAGAACAATGTGAACTCTAAATCAAATCACTGTAAGCACTGGTGAGTTCGAATGACACCAGGCGTAAGTGCTATATAAGGACCACAATTGGCCCTGGCAGGGTGGCTCTGTTGATTAGAGCACCGTCCCCTACACCAAAAGGTTGTGGGTTTGATCCCAGATTGGGTACATAGGGGAGGCAGCCAATCAACATTCATCTTTCTCTCTCTCCCTTCCTCTCTCTCTCTCTAAAACATATCCTTAAGTGAGGATTAAAAAAAAAAAAAAAAAAAGAGCCACACTGGTTGCCTAGATAGCAATTTATTTTAATCCAACTAAGTTAAACAGGAATATATGAAAATCATAAAAGGGTAAACCAAATGCCACAATCTTGTTATCATTTTTGTCAGTCATTAAAATGGATAAAAACCACTGCCCCTTCTGAGTTCTCAGGGGTTAATTCTTATGGCCTCAATACCTGAAGCTCTTTCCATGAGCAAATGCGCTTCTAATTTTAACAGAATCATTAATTAAAGCTCCATTTTCCACCAAGCCACCTAAGAGGTTTTAAAAAAGAAATAGTCCTTGATTCCACCTTTTTCACACTTCACATTCACTTCATCAGGAAATCCTGGGCTCTACCACATTCCCCGGCCTTCTCAGCACCTCCGTGGCCCAGTGAGGCCTTTGGATACTTGCAGCAGTCTCCTAACTGGTCTTGCTTCTGCCCTTAACCCCTGCAAGCTGTTTCTAAGGCAGCATGGGACAGGTTGTGTATTTCTTCTGGTCCAAAGCTTCCAGGGTCTCGCATCTGACCCTGAGGAAGGCCCAAATCCTTACAACCGCCCCCAAATGCTGCAAGATTCACCCCTGTGCCTTTCCGGACCTCAACTTCTTTCCTCTACCTGCCCACCACTCCGTTTCAGCCTCCCTGGCTTCCTTGCTGCTCTTGACACACAGCAGGCAGACCTGTCACCTTGGCTGGTGCCTCTGCCCCAAGCAATCTAATCCCAGAGTCCTCCGTTCATTGTCTCACCTCTTTCAAGTCTTTGCTCCAATGTCACCTTCTCACCCTATTTAAAAATGCTGCAGGTACCCCCCTCCCCCAATGCTCTCATTCCCCCCTTACCCAGCAGTCCCTCCCCCTAACTTACACCTTCTAACCCCCAAAATATTCGACTTATTATGTTCACTCTCTTCCTCTCCTCACTAGAAAGTACACTCTACAAAGGGAGGGACTTTTGTCTGTTATTTTTCACTGTGTCTAAAACAGTGTTCGGCACATAGAAGGCCCATAATAATTATTTGTTAAAATGTGAATAAATGTAGATGGCTAATCCTTGTTTTGCAAACCACAAACTAGTGTGATTGCTAAGCATGGATCCCCAAATTGTTGAATTCCTGATCTGCATGCTGGGTTTTCTATGTGACGACTGAAGTGTTAGCCAGTCCCTGAGACAATGCTCATTGGCCTCCTTCTGCAATTAGAAGTTATGAGGAGAAGAACAGACCAGAGCTGGGCAAATGTATGAAAAAGAAGAAATAAGGAGCTAACTAGGAAAGGGAGTTTAACTTCAAGAATAATTGAAGAAATATATAGCAAAGCACTAAGACCATTTTTTAAACTATTAAGTTAGCAAAGGTTTTTTAAAAATTATAATATTCAGGGCTGGCAAAAGGACAGAGAAAAACTACTTTTAGACACTGCCCTTTAGAAATTGGAGCCCTTTTAGAAACTTACTTGGTGAGTGTGTCAAAAGCTTTAAAATAGTCAGGAATTAATTAGTGCAATTTTACCCTAAATGTGGAAAAAGCTTTATGGGCAAAGATTTTGTTACAACTGCATTTATAAAAGCAAAATTTGGAAGCAACGTAAATGATCCATTATAAGAAGATGATTAAGCAAACTATACATGGCTCATCAACTCGATTCCATTTTTAATGACTCATTAATAACTTAACAATGTGGAAAAGACCGAATGTGATGCTGTGTAACCCCCCATCCCACCAGAGCAGGGAAGAAAGATGGGGGAAGAGGTTAGTTGAATATAAACAGGGGTGGGCCCTGGACAGAGCTGTGCTCCTGGATTCCAGGTTGTTTAATGCCATCCACCTTATCCCAGATATCAGATTGGCCACAGATCGTCTCTCTCCTGTGTCTGAGAACAATAGTTCCAATGCCCAGAAACATTATGTTTTCCACCTCTTATTCACTATCTCTCCTCAGAGCTAAGGAGCCCTACACATGTAGGCACCCAGTGACCTGCCTGAGACCCTGCTGTTGCCAAGGGACGTATATGAATGAGGCCCCAGAGTGACCTCCCTCCAAATAATTAAAAAGTAAATACAAACAGAAATGAAAGAATGGAGGTGTTAGACAACAAATGTATTTGTAAAAAAGTAAACCTGAATCCTATAAAATATTGAATCAAAATCAGGCCTACGTGGGCACATAATGGTATATTTTGATGGGTATAATTTGGTCCTCTGGATTGTTTTATAATAGGAATCTGCCAAAAATGAGTTCAGTCACAGGTTATTTTAAATACGCTGCAAAATGCCACTACCACTACAAATTTATACTACCTTTGATACATCCAATTCCACGGCAGTAAAATAATTGGACCCACTCTGAGGAGTTCGAGCAGAAGAGATCACGAATCAGATAAACTTCATATGTGAACGTGGGAATGGGAGCTCATTATCACACCAGGTAGCATATTGGACCTTAGAACCTTGTCTGTTGTTGTTTACTCGCCTCTATGGATATATCTCCTTTCACTTCAGAAGGATCTGTTGAATATTATGCTCGGTCTTCAACTGTTTTTGAAGTGCCTTTGTGGAGAGAGCTGAGACTGGGTGCTTGGCTGCTTTTCAGAAGAGACTTTTTAGGGTCGGTACCTCCAAAGTTCTTACCTGGTCCCCCAGCAATTCTCTAACACCAACTGGGTGTCCCACAGTTCAGTCCAATTCTGACACAAACCACCAGGAGTAAGCATTAGATCTGTAAGTGAAGGAACGAATAGTCTCACAAGATTGTCCCCACTTCAGACGCCAGAAACAATTACGTGTAGGTGGGGCCCCGAGCCACCCACAATTCTGCCGGGCTGACTACAAATTCTGGTTTCTATACAAACATCAAATCATTCTGCTGCACATCTGAAGCTAATATAATGTTATCTGTCAATTATATCTCAAATTTTTTTAAAGTCCAAAAATTTGGGAGTTTCTAAGATCCCCATCAGGTTTAATAATTTGCTAGAACAACTCACAGAACCCAGCAAAGAGCTGTACAATAGATCCTCCTTATCCCCGGTTTTGCTTTCTGCTATTTCATTTACCCCTGGTCAATTTTCATCTGAAATATTAAATGGAAAATTCCAGAAATAATTCCAAAGTTTTAAATCACAAGCCACTCAGCTCTGTCCCACCTGGGACATGACTCATCCCTTTGTTTAGGTTCTCTACAATGTAGACACTCCCTACCTGCTGGACACCTAATAGCCGACCGGATTATCAGATCAACTATCATAATATTAAAGTGCTTATGTCCAACTCACCCTTGTTTTACTTAATAAGGGCCCAAAGTGCAAGACTAGTGATGCTGATGATTCAGATATGCCATGGAGAAGCCATAAAGTGTTTCTTTTACGTGAAAATGTATCTATGTACAGGGAAAAAACATAGTATACTAGTATATAGGGTTCGGTACTATTCAGTTTCAGGCATCTACTGTGAACATTGGAACATATCCTTCTTGGATAAGGGGGACTACAGTATTTATAACTACAGTGTTAACTTAAAGGACACAAGACAAATGAAAGAGATGCACAAGGCAAGGTAAGGGGGCAGGCGGGGTGGGGGCAGGGCCCAGAACTTCTAAGCCTTTAGATACTCCACTCTTCCAGAACTCCGATGAGTTCATCAGCCGGAAGCTCCTCAGAACCTCATTGTTCAAGTCTTTATCGAGGGCTCATTACTTAGGCACAGAGGATGGACTGACCTCAATCTCCAGCCCCTCTGCTCTCCCTGGAGGTTGGTGGTGAGGCTGAAAGCTCTAACCCTCCAACCTCCTGCCTAGTATTTCTGCTGTGACCAGTCCCTCCCTTGAAATTATCTAAGGGTTCACCACGAGTCACCTCATTACTCTACACTCAGATTGAGCCAGAAAGGAGCTCATTATGAAGAACAAAAGATACTCATATCACTCAGAAAATTCCAAGGGTTTTTGAAGTTCTGTGCCAGGAACCTGGGACAAAGACCAAATATATCTTTTATTATATCACAGTTCTGAAATGTTTTCTGGGTAAAATCCCTTTACTTCAGTTTTCTGAAATGTAGCCTGAAGTTACCGAGTTTAACTTCCTTGACAACCATGACCCAGGTTTTTACGATTCTGAAGCTAATACACGCTTGACAGTTCTTTGTGCAAAGCATGCACCTCAATATGTGTGCACTTAGTGTGCTTCTCAATTAATAATCGATAATGCTGGTATGTGCTACTTGGGCCAGAACATAGCTGGTGTTAGTGGGAGAGCATGGCCAGGACCCCAGGAGACTGAGGGCTCTGGGAGAGTTAGATCAATTAGATAAAGCACAGGAGTTGACTCTTCTCAAACTAGTGGTGTTCATTCAGATTCTTCCGATATCAAGAGATAGAAACCTGACTCAGATTTGCTTAAAGGAGATTTATTATTTTTAAAAATTTATACTAATAAAAGGGTAATATGTTAATTAGACTGGGAGACCCTCCGGACAAAGCCATGGTGGGCAGAGTGGGGCAGTTGGGGAAGATCAGGCTGGCGGGGGAGGGGGCAGTTTGGGGCAAGCAGGTCAGCAGGGAGGGAGGAGTGGGGGCAAACAGGCTGGCAGGGGAGGGCAGTTGGGGGCAAGCAGGCCAGCAGGCAGAGTGGTTAGGGGCGATCAGGCAGGCAGGCAGGTGAGCAGTTAGGAGCCAGCGGTCCCAGATTGCAAAAGGGATGGGATCTGGCCTAAACCGGCAGTCGGATTTCTCCAGAGGGGTCCCAGATTGGAGAGGGTGCAGGCCGAGCTGAGGGGCACCCCTCTGCCCTGTGCACAAATTTTGTGCACCGGGCCACTAGTATAAAATAAAAGCATAATAAGCTAATTATACTGGATGTACTTCTGGATGAAACCAGGGCTGAGAGGGAAGACTGGGTCCCGGATGCCAGAGGAAAGCTGGTCCTGGCAGCTGGGGGTAGGAAGGCCTACTCTTGCACGATTTTCGTGCATCGGGCCTCTAGTATACATATAAAAGCCTAATCTGCAAATTGTCCCCTCAGGAGTTTGACCAAGAGATCAGCAGCTCGATTGCTCACTATGATGCGCACTGGCCACCAGAGGGCAGCATGGAACATAGGAAGGCCCCAGCCGGCAGCTGGAAGGCCCTAATCAGCCCTGATTGCCCGCCAGGCCTAGGGACCCTACCCATGCATGAATTTCATGCACCAGGCCTCTAGTGTGTATGTATATATATATATATATATATATATATATATCACGGAATGAAAGAGGTCTTTGTTCATCCATGATCAGAAAAGCAGGAAACAAGAAACTCTGGGACTCCAGACATAGAAACTGTGACTCAATATCATTAGGTCTTTATCACTTAGTCTCTCAGTGTCTGTCCTCATCTCTCTTAGCTCCTATTCTCGTAAATATTGTTTCTTTTTTGTATGTTACCTTTCTTTTCTCTTAGCCAATCAGCTTCTTCCCTGACACTGTAGCAATTGCTTTGGAACTACAAGGAAAAGGGTCTTCCCACCTAAGACTTCAGTTAGAAATATTCAAGGTTTGGGCTTATGTTCATAGTCTTTGAGAAGCAGGAGAGGCAAAAGAAAATATTGCACCAATTTACATTCATTACATAATGCAGAGCCAGCCACTCAGGAATACTTAGTAGCCCCAACCCCAAACTGGGGAGTCAGGCATGCTCAGCAATAAGAGATGAGTTGTGGTCAAGGCCAAGGAGAGGTCAAGGAAGAGAGCCAATAGTGCCATGGGAGAAAACCAAGGACACCCTCCATAGAGTGAGTCAGCCTGGGACACTGCTGGGAGCATAGTTGAGGATACATACAGAGGTTGCATTCAAGGAACAGCTGGAATTCCTTCAGAGCTCCTCCTGTGAAAGCCACAGGATGGTGTCAGCTTAAGATTCCCTCAGAAATGCCTTCACTGAGCTATTATTTAATGCAGTGCTCTCAGCTTTTATCAAGAATTCAGACAAGAAATGGCATTTAAGAAACATTTTGTGGTCTTCAAAAAATCCACAACAGAATACATTGTTCTTACTTCTTATGTAATGAGCATAATATTCTCCCCACAATTTAGAGCCAAAGAAATATCTGTCTCTCCAGGCATACGTGTGCTGATTTTTATCAGACAATAGGAACTATACAGCGTGTTTCCCTTTTTGCACTGGCCCCTGCAAACCATAAGTTAAATTTGGTGCTTCATTGTTCCAATATCACCTAGATTTTTGGATGCCTTCTAATAAGTTCTGATTTTCCTTTCTGTCTTGACCCACCTTGGTGGCATTTTTTCTAACTTTTTAATTGGGAAGTACAGTACACATACAAAGACACACAGCACAATGATGACTTCAAGATAAATACCCATATAACCACTACCCAGGTCAATAAACAAGAATTTCCAGCATCCCCAAAGTCCTTTTTGTCTTCTTCCCAAAAACCATACATCCCCTTTCTCTATCATTCCTTCCTTATTATTCTGACTGCTTTGCTTCTCTGTATATTCCTATTCCTCAACACTACAAGTTTAGTTTTTTTTTCTTTTAACTTCACAGAACTAGAATCACTCAATGTGTATTCTTTTGTGACTGGCTAATTCCACACAATATTACATTTGAGTATATATACAATCCCTTATTTTTATCTTTTCTGTTCATTTTTTTCATAGCTGTATAGTATGCCATTACATGGCTAAGTCACAACTCTTGCTACTGATAGACATTATCCTTTTATTTCATTTTCTTGAATTACTAATGTGGCTGAGTACGCCCATGTTTATGGGTCATTTGGAGTCTTCTCGTTGAACCATAGTTTTTAATTCATCTTACAGAACCAAGGAAATGGACTCTCCCCTAGAGCCTCCAGACGGAACATGGCCCTGCCAACACTTTGACGTTAGCCAGTGAGACCGATTTTAAAGATAATAAATTTATGCTGTTTTAAGCTACTAAGTGTGTGGTAATTTGTTAGAGTAGCAATAGGACATTAATACACAAGGAAAGGGAAGAAGGCTGCTTAGATACTTAAAATAGTTTATATTTTTAAAATGTAAAGATATATTTGCATTATTAACACATTACAGCATTGTCCATTTTCCAAATTTAATATCCCATCATATAAAGTAAAAAATGGCCCTAGCCGACTTGGCTCAGTGGATAGAGCATCAGCCTGCAGACTGAGGGGTCCCAGGTTCGATTCTGGTCAAGGGCACATGCCTGGGTTGCAGGCTCGATCCCCAGTAGGGGGCGTGCAGGAGGCAGCTGATCAATGATTCTATCTCATCATTGATGTTTCCATCTCTCTCTCCTTCTCCCTTCCTCTCTGAAATCAATAAAGAAATATATTTTTAAAAAATAAAGTAAAAAATGATTTTTAAAACTGAGGTATAATTTATGTACAGTGATATGTACAGATCTTAAGTGTATAGTTCAAAGAGTTCTGACAGATGCCGACATCTGTGTAAACAACACCCAACTCAAGATATAGAATTATTTCCACTCCTCCAGAAATTCCTCATGTCCCTTCCTAGTCATTCCCTAACCCCTCCCTGCCTTCACCACCCAGGCAGCCACTGATCTAATTTCTATTTCCATAGATTAGTTTTCTCTCTTCTAGAACTTCAAATAAAAGAAACACACAATATCTACTTTCTTGTGTTTGATGAGAATGCTCACTTTGAAGTTAAAGACTCCAGTGCAAATTCTGGTTCTTCCACTTACCAACTCTGTGAACTTGACAAAGTGCCAGGCTTTCAGAGGCTGTTTCCATTGAGAATATAGACTTCCCACCTCAGAGCTACTATGGTGACCAGAGAGCATATGATAAAATGGTATGTCGTTTCTCAAATGGCATATGCTTGTTTCCAACTCAAAACAAAAATTGGATGCTAACCATCTTTGGGTAATGGTATAATAAGTGACTTTTTAAAATACATACATATATATTTATCTATCTCAAATTTGTATTACCATATATTCCTTTTAAATTAAAAAAATCATTTTAAAATAAATTAGCACAGGAATATTAATGAACTATTTTATATCACAACCCTTTCTTATTAGATTTTTGTTTTAATATTCTGTTTCAATGAATAATCATAATCCTTAAATATGTACTTGTGCAAATCATATCAATTATGATGTCACACTTCTAACTTGACCATCCTGTCATCAGCTAGCCCAAAATGTCCCTGTTCTGATAGCAGGATTTTACAGCCTCCATCTCTCTACCACTTAGAACTGTTTTATTTTTAATTTTTTATGTATTGATTTTAAAAAGAGAGAGAGAGAGAGAGGAAGAGAGAGAGAGAGATTTGTTGTTTCACTTATTTATGCATTCATTCACTGATTCTTATATGTACCCTGACCGGGGATTAAACCCATAACCTTGGTGTATGGGAACAATACTATAACCAACTGAGCTACCCAGCCAGGGCAACTGAGAACTGTTTAGATATGGATACTAATTGCAGTTAGCTTCCATAAACTACACAAATAACTGATTGTTAATGATACCAATCAAATGTCAACTATTTTACTAGAACTTTACCCTTCATAATTTACAAAGTGCCATTATAGACCATCCATAACGACAGAGGACTGCAGCGTGATAGAATCGTCAGGAGCTACAACCAGTGGGCGTATGTTTAATATTATGAATCAAGATGGAATGACTTCCTACAACTGGTCTATGCAACCATTCCCATTGCCTCTGTGACGAGAGGAAAAAAGCAAGAAATAGAGAGATAAAGACATTGCCAGGAAGTTTAATAGGGAGCAGTAGTTGGTATTCACAGAAATTACCCCATAGAACAAACCTCTATGTCGGAATTGCACAGGTCGGTGTAATAGCAAACTTAAATAGGAGCAATACAATACTAGTTTGTATTTATTGAGTGGTTATTACTTTCTAGGCACTATATTAAGTAACTTTATAAACATTAATTCTTCTATTCTCACTACCACCCTCTGAGATCAGGGCTATTGCGCCCCATTTAACAGAAGGCCACTTACTTGGCAGCACCACATGGCCTCAGAGCCATGCTCTCGATCATTACACCGTGCTCACTCCCTAATGATGGCTGGAAAATGACTGCATTTCAAGCTTGAATTGTAAGCAATTACAGTAGAAAAGACTCAACATTCTCAGGAAGCCGTGTGTGAAAAAGACGTGATTATTCAAACACATCCCTGTGGAGAATGCGTAATTACCTGGGATACTCAAGAAGACCAAAATATACAAACTCAGAACAACGAAAGAAGCAGCTGCAGGCAGGATGAAGAGGCAGTCGGTCTTAGAAGTAACCCCAATGCCCTGTGGGAAAGTAGTGTAGTTACTACGAGAAGTCATGTTATTCTCTTTACTTAAATTAAGAATTTAGCAAATAATATGTAGTTCATTCCATAGTCCAAGTTTTGTTACTCTCAGTTCATCCCTTCTGCTATCATTTTAAAGTCCCAAATAAAGGATCGACTTCCAAGGCTTATTGGAGTCCAGTATCAGACCCAGGTGAACTGAGCTCACTTAAAGAAGTACACCCTGACAAAGTTTATTTCCACCTGACTGTGCAGCTGTGGGTCACTTTTGCACCATATCTCTTTGATCCCCACCACAGGAGAACAACAGGACAGATACTATTATCCGCATTTCATAAGGAAGAAATAAAGCAGCCCAGAGATGTGAAGGGATGTACCTAACACCAGCCAGCAAGTCCGAAACCTGCGACTAGAATCTCGGCTTCTCCATTTCTTCTCTAATCTTGACCCATTTTAGTGACAACTTTCCAGATGTATTAATAAACCAAAAAACTGGCCGATTTGGCCTACCCATTGGGGAGGTATCAGTGAGTGGTGAAATGTTCTGAAAGTGGACTGAGATAAGAAGGTAGAGCTTCTAGAATAAACTTAGAAAATGAAATAGTCATATAACAACAAATGCCATGTTTTTAGCACTTAGAATGTACAAGAAAGTTTGCAAAGTGATATATAGGATGTCCTCCAAAAATGTATACACACTTCGAATAATTATAAAGATAGTATTTATTAAAATACATTTCATTTTCAAAATTAAGCTATCAGCTGTTAAGATATGTATATATTTGGGGGGAATATATATATGCATATATATACATATATCTATAATAATAAAAGCGTAATATGCTAATTAGACTAGACATCCTTCCAGACATCCTTCCTTCCAGACAAAGCTGCAGAGAGCAGGGGCCTCGGCAGAGGCAGCAGGCGGGGCCAGGGCCAAGGCCCCTGCATAAATTTTGTGCACCGGGCCTCTAGTGTGTGTGTGTGTGTGTGTGTATATATATATATATATATCCGCATCTATCCGTAAACCATCCCATAGAGATATATTATTAGCTCTATTTTACAGATAGGGGAAGTGAAGGTGAAACAGGTTAACTTACCAAGGTAACAGTCTGAATCCTATGTAACAGGAGCTGTGTGCTCAGATCCAAGCTCAGCCCAGCCTAACGCTTCCGCAGAGATGGGAACTTCAGGCTGCTCTCAGTGACGTGAGCTGACAACCTGTGCTCAGCATGCCTCTCCTGCACGGCTGTCCACTCTCCCTCTCCCCTAACCTGCCGGCCCTGAACTACGAGGCTATTTGTTTGTGCAAGTGTTCACTTTGATGCAGGCAATCCCTCCCGTCCTCTGGGAGGCCAGTGTTCTGATGCTTTTGTGATATCCCACTCTCTCAATTCAGGAGGATCTGAATAAGCCCACGTTTATTCCCCGTGTGGGAATGTTTACTGGAACTCACAGTGGGGCACACAATTTAAGAAAAACAATGCTTGCCAGCCAGTGTGGCTCAGTGGTTGAGTGCCAATCTATGAACCAGAAGGTCATGGTTCAATTCCCAGTCAGGGCACATGCCCGGGTTGTGATCTAGATCCCCATTGTGGGGTGTGCAGGAAGCAGCCAATCAATGGTTCTCTCTCATCATTGATGTTTGTATCTTTCTAGCCCTCTCCTTTCCTCTCTGAAATCAATAAAAATATTTTAAAAGAAAAATATAAAGAATGATTTAATATAATATTTTGAAAAAATCAAAGTTAATGTAAAAATATTTATTTTAAATAAAGACGGGAGATCCTCCCCACATCTGCACCACTCACCCCAACCCCTCACCTGGCCTCAGTCCTGTCGGATCCTGACTGTTTAAATTATTGACATTCTGTTCATTGTGGATGTTTTTTGCATTGATTTTTTTAATATGGCACTAAAACATTATTTATCCTCATGACAGAGGGGTTTTATTTGAGTCCCCTTAAATTTTGTACCCGAGGCCTCTCTCGCCTCACCCTATCCCAGTCCAGGACTGAGTATATAAAAGACAGAATTGCAGACAGTAGGCCCCGACTCCCAGTTTCCCCATGTCCTTCCCTGTCTCTCTTTGTTAGTTCAGTGGTTCTCAACCTTGGCTGCACGTTAGAATCACCTGGAAATCTTTTTTAAATCCTCATTTCTGGGCCTCATCCTCCGGAAATTCTGTTTCTTTGTTACTAATGTGGCCTCACCCCGTAACAAAGAAACAGAATTTCCGGAGGATGAGGCCCAGAAATCAGGATTTGAAAAAGATTCCCAGGTGATTCTAATGTGCAGCCAAGGTCGAGAACCACTGTGTTAGTTTGCCATGTCAGCCGCACCAAATAAGCGACCGCCACATGCACTCAGGCGCCTAGCGGAGCCGTGAGGAAGGAGGAGAGAGAGTCTCTCCACCGGGCGGCAGAGCCAGAGGGAGGCTTTGGCTGTTTCTTGCTCTTTCTCACAGGACACTTCTTATTCCATCAGCTAAGCACTTTGCCGCGAGGGAAATTCCTCCCTTTGACACCCTCCAGTCAGTGTTGACATGTAATTTTAATTATTGAATTCCTATCACTGTTTCTCTAAGGCAGGGGTTCTCGGTCTTTAAAAAACTAATCCCTGTGCCCAGGCTGCTTCCAAGCTCCATTATGTCAGTGTCTCGCGAGGCAAGAGCCTGGTGTCCGCAGTCTTTACAGCCTCCTGGTGAGTCGGTGTGCAGGCAAGGTTGGGAACCATTGCTACAGTGCATGGCTGGCTTTTCCTTTTCCTCGGTCGGAGGGTTTCCCTTGGTCCCTCCCGGAGGACATCAGCCAGGGCTCCAGGGGCGGAGGGAGCCGCATGCAACCCCTGGCTCTCCCACAGACTAGCTTTGTCATCGTCACAGGATACTTGATTTTTATTTCCTCGGCTGGACCCTGGGGATAGAAACAGAATTTGCCCCGTGGAGCTGTTTGAAGGAATCCAGCCGAGGCGTCTGAGACACCGAGCCCAGTGCTTGGTGCGTGTGCCTGCATGCACGCTCCCTGGGAGCTGTTAGCGTGATGAGTTACGAATCCATCCTGCCAACAAAATGGCAAGGAGCCAGTGCATAAACAGATAAGGTGGAGCTGCTCTGTCGGGAGGCCGTGGTAGGGCGACACTCAGACCCCACTCTCCTTCCCAGGGTGCTCTGCAGAACCCCGAGGGGCTCTGGGAGGTCATCTGAAGATCACTAGTACGGGGCATAATGGCATCACGGACCCAATTTTACAGTTTGGAGGGGCTCTTTCTGCCTCGGCACTCCTGTCGCCCATTTCTGATCTCTCTTCTGGTGGCAGGCATCGGCTGGCCAGGTTCAGGGCCACTCTGCGGCCACAGGACCCAGGGCTGCTTGGCCCAAGTGGCCTCCGTGGCCTCAGGCTTATTCGTGGAGTAAGCCGCCGAGTTCACGGACCCACCGAAGGACGTTGCTCTAAATGCCCAGTCCCCTGGCTGGTGAATGTCCGTTTGGCTTCGAGGTGTGTGGTGGCGGCTGGAGGCTTGAACGTGTTTCCTGTTGGAAAGCAGAAGGTATTGAAGTGCCAGGTGGGGGGGGATCCCGAGGGCGTCCAGGCGGGGCGAGGACACTCCCTCTGGGAAAGAGCGGCTGCCTTTGTTCCCACCTGGGAGTGGCTGTGCTCTCTATTCGTTTTGTGGGCAGTGTTGACTGTTTCACCCCAATGAGTCCAAAGTCTCGGCCCAGTTCAGAGACCCTGGCCAGCCTCGGGCTGACTCCGAAGGGGAGGCAGAAGGGATAGACGGGGGCCAGTGTGGCAGGTTGGCTGGGCCTCAGAATCGTCTGTACCACGAAGTCGAAGTCGGCTGTGGTTCCTCTTCCCTGAGAGAGGCCCGTCTGGGTCCTGCTGGCCCATGTGTTACTCCCATCGCAGCAAGATTTCTCATAGCTGTCCCCATTTTCCTTTCTTCCCACCAATCGAGTGCCTTTCTCTTTTTGCAGAAAGGGGCACTCCTTGAACCGAGCTAACCGCTGAATAAACTACCCGATAGTAAGTGTTTTGTTTTTTCCTCCCCCGAGCCCATTTCCAGGCCTGTGTGGGAAGAAGGGTGATATTTCACCCCAGCCTGAGTGGAAAGTGTATGCCTCGATTGTTCTTTAGAGAAGCTATTTTAGTGAGACGCGTAGTCGTTGGGCTCTTTAATTGCAGGTAACAGAAGCCAACTTGTGGCGGCTGCAGCCACAGAGAGGAATTTATTATAAGGATAAAGGAGCATCTCATGGAAGCGAAGACCAGAGTGTGGCCAGGCCTCAGGAAGGAACTGAGGCCTGGAGAGCTGCCAGGACACCTCCGCGTGTTTCATCTCTGGCGCTTCCCATGTGTGCTCGCTTTGTCTCGCTCGCTAACTGGCTTTCACTGCCTCTGTCCACAGGGAGGAACGCTGCTGTCACTCAGAGGGTGCGCTCTTCCCCTCTGCCCAGGACGCCTAGTGGCTTTCAGTGAAGATTCATGGGAAAAAGAACCTGGTGGGTCAGATTCCCCCAGCGATGGTCTGTGGGCAGATGGCACAGTGGCCGTCTTCTCATCCAGGGTTTCCAGATCTGGCTGATGATTAGAGTCCCTAGTGGGAGATTTTTGTTTTTATTTTTACATACAGACCCAGGTTCCACCTTAGAATCTATAGCAGTAGGAGCTGGGACTCTGCACTAAAAATTCCTCCAGAGATTCTGATGATAAATGAGAGTTGAGAGCCAATGAAACCCAAGTCTTCGGTACCCATTAATCTTTCTCCTAAGGACTCATGAGAGACTGCCTTTTAAGCTGTCTATTTGTGGAGGCTATTACTATAGGGCTGGAATGCACAATTCATTTCAGTGCAAATATAGGTAAGTGGGATGGGGAGCTCCCTACCCCACTGAGCACTTGCAGAAGAACCAGTCTAGTGGAAATCTGAGAAGCCGGCGAGAGCTGGATCTAACATCACTGTTCTTAAAGGCTTCATGTTCAGCACTTTTAGACAAGATTTCAAGAACTGTGCTTACCAGGTGAAATCTGGCTGAGTGTTAGCCAAGCAGATGATACAGCAGTGTGGGCCAGTGTGAGTCAAGAACAGGTTAGCACCTAGGGCTGCAGAATGAGGAAAAATAGAACTCTGCTGGGAAAATGCAATTGTAGAGAATCAAGTTGGGTTTTATGTTCCCACGTTTTTATTTCTCACACAGGCTGATACCTAAACTATCACCCCTTGTAATGTCTACTGGCTTGTTCTTTAAGACTGAACTTGCGTCTCCACTGAGAGAAAGCCTTCTCGGACTCCTCAGTCCCCTAATCGTCGCTTCTGCCCCTATAATAGCCTCTGTGTACCTCGACCACATAGTGGATTGTACTCGTTTTACTTCTCCATCGCCCCCACTTGATGATGGGGAGCTGGCACTTCGGAACCTAAACCTACATGAGGGTTGGCGTGAACTGTCCTATGAACTGATGTAGGACATGCCTGCTAATTGGGCCCCTGGCAGCCCTTCTGTCCCTCACATCCCCTTAGTCCCACGGTCAAAGCCGTTATGCTTTCGCCAACAATCTCAATACTATTCCAGGTTCTGGAGCACCCTTAATCATGGAAAATTTAGGGAGCCCTGCATCCAGTATGCCTTGCTAGTACGACACCCTGATGAATCTGGAAGATGTTTTACTTGTGTTTTACTCTACGATACTCTAGCTAAATCAGCCATACTTCATTAGGCATGATTCAGATATTACCTCATTTAATTCCCACAACAAGCCTACAAAGAATGCTTCATGGGAAAAACTGGGAGTCAGAAAGGTTAAGTAACCGACCTAAGCCACACCACCAGTAAGTGTCAGAACCAAGATCAAAACCCAGATGTGACCCAAAACCTTATGCTCTTAAACACCAGGCTGCACTTGAGTTCTTTTTTAAACTTACAGTCAGTTGCTTAGTTAACTAGTTACTTTATATAGCTGGTTATCATTCCCTGTGTATGCCTCATAGCTGAGTGTCTGCCTCATTTTCTCAATTAGAATAAAATAGTATTTGTTGGCTGAATATAATCAATATAATTATATTGATCTGAACTAAAAAATAAAAAAAAATGAGTGCCTAACCTTCTCTTATTGGTTATCAAGTACAGAATGATTTCCTAGACGTAGCTATTTGAAAGTTTCCAACAGAATGTAAGTCTAGGCCTATTTGCATCTCATCCACTTGCCATGGCTGAGGAAAAGATTTCTCTTGGCTGTCCCCATTTTCCACAAGATATTCCTGAACTTCAAGGAAGTCCAGTGTGCTGATTTATAAGTGGCCCTACACAGTAGGGTCTGAGAATACTTATCAAGAGAGGTGATGGAGCCTGCCACAGCTCTCAGAATAGTCATAACTGAGTCACAAAAGAACCACACAAGCTGGGCCTGAAATTGGGCCGTTAGGGGAGGGCACAGTATACAAATTTCCCAACATGCCAGCTACATATCTGACAGCCCACACAAGAAAACCTTCTTCTCTGGTCTTAAAGGAGGGGTTCTAGGAGACACGAGAGTTCTACAGGATATCAGAAATGGTTTGCATCAATGACAAGTGGGGAAGTCGAAAACGAAATTCTAAATAAACCATAATTATGCAGTCTCTCCTCACTGAAACGTGGTTCAAAGGCTAGAAACCTGGAGATGAACTTGGACCTAAGAGTAGAATCAACCCCACCTATACCGACAAAAGACATGAAACATAGACTGCAAGGGGGCAGGGGCAGGCCTCTCTCTCCAGAGGCTGCACTAGTCCAGAGCCTTGCAGAGATGACATGTACCAGGCAGATACATGACCCTACCTTTGGAAGAAACAGGGGGACAGGCTGATTCAAGCAGGCTCAGGTGTCACCTTCTGAAAGCATAAGGTTTTCCTCCAGCTTCATGAGCAAACTTTTCATTCCGGATGCAAAGGGCAATACATCGAGGCTTCCTCCAAGGGCAGAAAGCCACAGCAGCCTGCAGTGGGAAAGTGAAGCATCCCCATAAGCATAAAGAACAGCTAACTGGCACCTTTGCCCCAGATTTTGAATGTGAGTGATGAGCAGGTGACAGAAGTACAGGTTGGGAGGAGGGAGAAGGGAGGGGATAGCCGCGTGTTTGTTTTTTAATGTATCAACTCTAAATGCTGGACACACTCATAGCATATCCAGTAAGCTGGTAGAAAAGCAGTTCTGGAACTCCAAATAGAGGTCTGGGCAATAGATTTTAGGAACCATTAGCAAGGAGGTGAGAGTATCCTATGTGTCAGAGAAGACAAGAAATCAAGGTGAGGACGGAGGACATAAGCTTAGGGGAACATGCACTGGATGAGGCCTTCTGGTTACACAGTCCCCAAGTTCCTCCTCTTCTTTCTACAGAGATTCCCCTCGGCCCTGAGAAATCCCTAATGCTCGCCTTCTTCTATTCCCTTCTACCTTGAACAGAAGTAGTAAATTTTCTCCCCAAACCTGACAGTCAAATAGAGCCTTGGAATAAATGACTTCACTCCGGTTTGTAAAAGGCCATAAAAAATGTTGTAGTAGAGTGATCTTTGAGTGGATTAATAACCTTTCTCCAGAATAAAGAACTGTGGTGTCTAAAACAACGTAAGATTCTTATTGCGTCCCATTAATCTGTATAGTTGAGAGGGAAAAAATTACCTATGAGAATGGTTTAAATTGTTACATTGGTACTTTAGTACATCTAATTTTCAAAAGCTCCCTTCCTTCTCTCCTCCCCACACACAAACTGGCAGAACAGAAGGAAGTTGCCTGTATGAGGAATGTAGGACTTAAAGCAAGTTTTATGACTTAAGGCCTATTTATTATATTTTACCTGTCTTTCCTGAATTTCCTGAACCATCATTAAGTTATTGTTTGAAGTTCCCACATTCTTCTCCCTAGACACACAGAATGAACAAGAAGCCGTGGTCACTGCGTTCTTTATACATTCGGCACAAGCTTGCAGAGGAGCCGTGTAATCACTGGGACACTCAGCAGAGCAAGCGATTGGGTTTCAGCTGTCTGCACTGGGAACTGTTTCCTAACATTATATATACCTAGCATGTGGGCAGTTTCAACACGGCTCGGGACTGAATAAGCACTAGACTGAGGTGGGAAGAATGCTAACCCAGGTTTCTTGACATTATCAGATAAAGGGAACTCAAGAGGCTTGGTGTTGGCTTGTTGACAGATAAGCTTTCTGACATTAATGCAGGTTTGGTTTGTTTTACACTCCCCCTACAAAAGATTAACCCAGTTTTCCCAGTGCCCATGAAGGAAGTCCTGAATAAAAGCTTTTATCAAATGTGAACTAAAAAAAAAAAAAAAAAAAACACAAATCAAAAATGAAAACATTTTACAAACATACAGAAATTTTCAACACTCTGGATCAGAGGTCTTCATATGGGGTATATCTAACCCTATCAACGGAACCTCAAAACCTTCCAGGGGGCCCTTAAACAAGGTAACATCCTCACCTTTTACACATACCCTCCCCTCAAACTAAGCAATGTGAAAAACAACAGAACACCACATCGCCAATATTTCTCCCCTTCTACAAACCAGAGGCACACAAGTTTACACAGGGCTCAAGTTGCTTCCTTGGGGCTTCCTAGCCTTCCCTGTTCTATATTTCTATTAAGAGAGATTTAGAAATGGGGTATTTGAGAATTGTTAGGATTTCAAAAGTGGGATATGTGGTAACGTGGGGGACAGTGGAAGTAAAGATTGTTATTTAACAAGTGGGCCACTCCCATCTCCAGATTCCTGCCAGGGAAGGAATATATCACTCTTGATGGAAGCCCCACCAGCAAAGCAGCAAAGAAATATAGAATGCTACAAATAGCTTTTCTCATAAGTAATTGTCCCAGTATTTAAAATATTCATCTTTACAACACTCGCTGACTGAAAAGTACTTTTGGACAGTCAAAACAAGAATAGTTTAGTGATGCCAATAATTTTAAACGTAACTTGGAATATTTTTCAGGACTACCAGAATTTTCATGATGAACTAAATAAAACCTACGGACAATACTTTTCATGATGTTATCATGACATATTTATTCTAAATACAATAAATCTCCACTTAATTAGTCTCATGAACTTATTAATATCACCTATTAACAGAAAGTAAATTAAGATTTTAGTTGCCACACCAGTTAAATGATAAAAATAACATTGAATTATTTTATTTTTTTTAAAAATATGTATTTTCTGTGATTTTTTAATTACTTTGAGTAAATTTTTACAAGGAGTGTTCTGTGATAGTCTTAATGATTTTTATAATATTCTTTTAAATTCATTAACACAGCATTTGAATTTTCAAGTCAGACTTTTTCTGACAGAAAGGAAGTCTAAGTTGGTTATTTGAGATGGTTGGTTATTTGAGACGGTGGATTAAATCTGGTTTTGATGAATTATATATTTAGTGAAATATCTATTATGATAAAAATATATTTAGAACATTAATCCTACCCAAATATATCTGAAAAGGTGTTTTGAAGGTAGTAGGTTGGATTTTCCAACTGGATTAATTTACTGGATCAAGTAGTTTTTCTAAGTGAAAAACTAACAGGTACAATGAATAATCATTTGATAGTCTTGGTAAAGCCTATTGGGTTTAAATGCCCAAATTTGAGAATGAACAATTCTAAACAAAGTCTTCTAAAAGTCAGGCAGCTTCTAATTCTCTACTTTCAACAAAAATAAACAATAAGCTAACCGTGTCAACTGAAAGCTGACTAAAGACAATGTGACTTTTAGTATTGAATTTAAAGAACTGAATAAAACTATTTTGATAAAGCTACTTCCATTCCCATCTCTTTATTTAGGAGCTATTTTTTCAGCATCTACGTAGATAGAAATAAAAGGCATAAATAAAATTGACACTGAACCCTCTTTCATTCTAGCAATGCCATAATCATCCAAGGGCACATAAACTAATCAGAAAAATTAATCTCATTAAAAGAGGACTTTTTCCCCATTTTTATTGAATGTATTGGGGCAACACTGGTTAACAAAATTATACAGGTTTCAGGTGCACAATTCTACAACATATCATCTGTACACTGTATTGTATGTTCACCACCCCAAGTCAAGTCCATCACCATTTATCCCCCCATACCCTCTTCCTTTAAAAAATATTTTGTCATTTTAGTTGCAAAAAAGTATGACAGTAATCAATATGACCTTCGGGTATAAAAATATAGAGTAAATCCTATGGCAACAAACTCCACGAATATGAAAATCTGGTCTAGTGGAACTGGCCCCCATCCTTCAACCCAGGCCCCCATTCCCAACACTTTAAGTTTCTCTGGAGAAGGCATGTGGTATTAGTGGTGGTGGCTAGAAAGTGATGGCCTTGTGATCAGTGGGGACTTTCTCAATTTAGTGAGCAGTCAGTTTGTACAATAAGTTTTAGTACCTTAAAAAAAAAAGTTTTGCCCTAACCGGTTTGGCTCAGTGGATAGAGTGTCAGCCTGCGGACCCAAGGGTCCCAGGTTCGATTCCGGACAAGGGTATGTACCTTGGTTTCGGGCACATCCCCAGTAGGGAGTGTGCAGGAGGCAGCTGATCGATGTTTCTCTCTCATCAATGTTTCTAACTCTCTATCTTTCTCCCTTCCTCTCTGTAAAAAATCAATAAAATATATTTTAAAAATGTTTTACTACCTTTACTTTTGTCCTTTCTGTGATCGTATAGGCTAGAACATACTTTTAAAAAATTAGTATTAGCCCTAGCTGGTTTGGCTCAGTAGATAAAGTGTTGGCCTACAGACTGAAGGGTCCCAGGTTCAATTTCAGTCAAAGGCACATGTCTGGGTTGCGGGCTCGATCCCCAGTAGAGGGTGTTCCAAGAGGCAGACGATCAATGATTCAATCTCATCATTGATGCTTCTATCTCTCCCCTCTCCCTTCCTCTCTGAAATCAATAAAAATATATTTTAAAAATATTATTATGGCAGTAATATGACCCTGTATTTTCACAATTCGATTTTTGGGTCCTAGATAGGTATTATGTTTTATCATACTAGAATAAAATCTTGTGGAAAAATTGCAATGAAAACATAAGATCAAAGAGAAAAAGATGTAAAATTTTAAATATCTTTATGTATTTTCTATATGGTTGATGGTATTAGGACTCCATTGGATATATTTGAAAGAGCGATGAACACTTTTTAAAAATGTCAATATTTATTCTATGCTGGAAATTATATCTCTTGCCAATATATAAGAACAGCATTTAATGTGCAAAGGAACAGAATAACTTTTTAAAACTATTTTTTAAAAGTGATTTGCACAGGGAGTGCTTGTGAAAAACAAAAAGTTTAAAAATCGCTGCTTTAGTAAGAGGAAACTTAAGCAATGACCCTTTCCAAGGCCAAAGATACTAGGAGCAACTACTTTTTTATCAGCAGTACATAGACTGAACAACTAGGAAGGAGAGCTTAACATTTGTTTGCTTTTTCTGGCCCCTAGAGGGAAGGCCAAGCATAGACAGGATTAAGCATTTCTGTTATTGAGTTGGAGACTCTAAAAATGCATTTATGAACCATAGTTACAGGGAAGGGACAGCTCATATCTCTAATTCTACCCCGGCAGCAATTCCTTCTTCATCAGAGAGCACTCAAGACCTAAGCTCTGTACCCTCTGCAATTTCAGGAAAAGGTGCTGACCTCCTGGAATATATTTTATCACCACTAATCATTTTTAACCAAGCATCCCTTATGTGTTAGGTTCTAGGGATACAACATGTAAAAACCCGCACTTGAGGAATTTACAATCTCATTGGAGAAACAGAAAAGATACTGAGATCAATACAAATCTGTGTAATACAAATTAAGGGGCCAATGAGTATAACAGAAAATGTAATGAACAGCCCAGCCAGTGTGGCTCCGTGATTGAGCATCGACCTGTGAACCAGGAGGTCACAGTTCAATTCCCGGTCAGGGCACATACCCGAGTTGCAGGCTCCATCCTCAGTGGGAAGTGTGCAGGAGGCAGCCAATCAATGTTTCTCTCTCTCTCCCCCTCTCCCTTCCTCTCTGAAATGTATACACTGAGTGGCCAGATTATTATGACCACCTGACATTTGTAGGCAAATTAGCTATAATTTCGTGCTGAAGTTGCTCGAGGGCCAGACCATTATAAATAGTCCATTATAAATTTTGGTAAGCAGGTTGTTTACGACAGAAGTGATTTTTTTCCGAAGATACGGGTAAACAACGCGATTTAACAGCCTTTGAACATGGGATACATATACACACACACAGAGTGGCCAGATTATTATGACCACCTGACGTTTGTAGGCCAATAAGCCGTACACTGCATCGTATGGGATATGGAAGCCGAAGGCCTGTTCGAACACCTTTGCTGTCTGCAGTTACCAAGATAAAACGTCTCCAATTCGCACAGGAACACAAGGATTGGACAGTCGAGCATTGGAAAAAAGTCATGTGGTCCGATGAATCACATTTCCAGTTGCATCATGCAGATGGCAGAGTGAGAATTTGGCAGAAACAGCATGAAAGCATGCACCCTACATGCATGAGTGCAACGCTTCAAGCTGGTGGGGGCAGTGTTATGGTTTGAGGCATGTTTTCCTGGCATGATTTGGGCCCTTTAATTCGTGTGGAACAACGTCTGAATATCACAACATACCTAAGTATCGTTGCTGATCAAGTTCATCCTATCATGTTGATGGCGTATCCCAATGGAGATGGCTTCTTCCAACAAGACAATGTGCCATGCCACCGTGCTCGTATTGTGCAGGAGTGGTTTCAAGAACATGAGGGAGACTTTACCTTGCTTAGGTGGCCCCCACAGTCACCAGATCTCAATCCAATGGAGCATTTGTGGGACGAAGTTAAAAGAGCCACCAGGCAGCTGGTTCCATAACCATCAAAACTCACAGAACTGGACAGTGCTATTCATCGGGCATGGTGTCAGATTCCTCGCATCACCTTTCAACATCTCGTGGAGTCAATGCCAAGAAGAATCGCCACAGTATTGAAGGCAAAAGGTGGCCCAACGAAGCAATGATGGGGTGGTCATAATAATCTGGCCACTCAGTGCATATGCGCACACACACACACATATACATACCACGTTCAAAGGCTGTTAAATCGCGTTGTTTACCCATATCTTCAGAAAAAAATCACTTCTACTGCTGTGGTAAACAACCTGCTTCCCTATTTATAATGGTCTGGCCCTTTAGCAACTTCAGCGCAAAATTATAGCTAATTTGCCTACAAATGTCAGGTGGTCATAATAATCTGGCCACTCAGAGTCTGTGTGTGTGTGTGTGTGTGTGTGTGTGTGTGTGTGTGTGTGTAAAATGTAATGAACAAATGAAGTTATTGCCAAAGATCAGGATAGTCTGGGAAGGAGAAGACTGGAATCCAAGTAGGTCTCTAAAAAACCAGGACCAAGACAACAAGATTGATGGGCTAATTTGCTGGGGACAGAAGTAGGACGGGGTAGGTGTGATGCAGGTATGACGGTGACAGGAATAGTGATGAGTCCAGAGCAGATGGCTGCTATGAAACTTGGAAGGAACATAGAAACCAGACTGCGGAAGGTCTTAAATGCCAAAGGAGAGCTGTGTGTTATCTTATGAGAAATGTGAAGGTTTCTGAGATCAATATGCAACATTTTAGGAATCTTTTTTAAAAAAATAACAGTCATATAGGAAGAGACAGCAAGAGAGATAGACGAGTCAGTTCCATTTTAGCAATAACCTGGGTAGCTAGGATGGAAGCAGCCTGTTGCAAGGATACCGTGAATGAAAAATAAAGGTCATTGTGCTAAAAGGGGCGGGTAAACCACAAGTAATTCCCAGGTTTCATTCCCTATGATAATCACTGTCCCACTGACAATAAATCCAAAAGGAAAGCAGGTTTATGTTTGAAGGAGCAGGGCCAGCAGGCAAATGAAGGGGAAGGCTCAATCTCCAACTCATCGGCCAGCACCAACTATACAGAAAATCATACATTTTCTCCTATTTTGTTCTCTTGTTCAATTCAGGGGGAAGAGAATTAGTATTCTAAACTGATCATTGATCATACTGTACCCACAATGATTTATCAATAGTCACCCTAAATAAATTTTCCTTGAGAATATTCAAAAACAGATCTAGCTAATGCCTCAGACTCATCAGCCTCTTTCTTACTCGTCTTGCTGCATGATTCATAAAAACAATTACCTCTACCCTTCAGCCCCTCATCAGCCAAGCTTAAGTCCTTTGACCTCTGTCTCATTACAGACTCATTATAGTCCTCACTTTCAGCACGCTGGGAAAATTTTAGAACATAAATCCTTTTCCTTTCCCACTGACCCGTCTCCAACAAGCCTTGTAAGCTTGTTACTTTTGAAGTTAACAGTATCTGTATGTTTGTTCCATTCAAAGAATGAACATCAAATTATTTCCTGATATACATTTAGTACAATCAGACGATGAAAGTGCCCAGTTTAAAATGCAGCAGGAAGATGTCCAGACTATGTAGGACAACATATCTGTTCACAGAATATCAAATGAGCTGGTCTATCAGGGGAGGTGGCACAGTGAAGGGTAAAAGTGCAAGGCTCAACTCAGACTGCCCAAGTTTGAAACTCCCACTACTTCAACTCTGGCAAGCTAACCTCTCTGAACCTCAATTTTTCCATCTGTAAAATGGAGATAATCCTGCAGGATTCCACATTAGGAGAAATTCTTACTGTACCTTAGCATCCTTACTACAGTTGATTTCTTATTACTGACGGAACCTTATATTGCTCTAGGTCAGTGGTTCTCAACCTTCTGGCCCTTTACAGTTCCTCATGTTGTGACCCAACCCATAAAATTATTTTTGTTGCTACTTCATAACTGTAATGTTGCTACTGTTATGAATCGTAATATAAATATCTGATATGCAGGATGGTCTTAGGCGACCCCTGTGAAAGTGTCGTTCAATCGCCAAAGGGGTCGCGACCCACACGTTGAGAACCGCTGCTCTAGGTCAAAGAGGGAGGAATAGGCCAACCTTTTCTGCAAAGGGTGAGGCAGTGATATTTTCCGCCCTGCTGGCCAGATGGTCTCTGCTACTCAACTCTGCTATTGTGGCACAAAGCAACCAGACAGCATGCAAACAAATGAGCATGATAGCTGTGTTCCAATACTTTATTTATAAAAACTGAAATTTAATCTCATATATTTCATATGCTAAAGTACAGCTTCCTGTGACACCCATCATAAACTGAAATGGCATAAAGCGAAGAGTATACCCACTTCCCAAAAACTCGCATTATGCCACTTTGCTTTTACCAAAGACCTGCTTTAATATGGTAACAGTTTTCATAAAAGCAAAAATCTTTGGTTTTCACTCAGCTAGTGAAAACAGGTACTAATGTAGGTCTCCTATAAAAGCCAAGAGGCATAATGTGGACTTTCAGAATGTACAGGATACCGATATTATTCTCTCTTAACTTTTTTCAGCCATTTAAAAATGTAAAAGCCATACTTAGTTTGCAGGCCATAGAAAAACAGTCGGGGGACCAGATTTGGCCTATGGGAGGGAGTCTGCCAGACCCTGCTCCAGATTAACCAGTTTATGGGCTTTGGAAGCTTTCTGGGGGCAGGGAAATTGAAATACAGGTTCATGATGCAGAAGAGGAAACTTCTAAGTATAATTTTTTTATATATATATATATTTTATTGATTTTTTACAGAGAGGAAGGGAGAGAGATAGAGAATCAGAAACATCGATGAGAGAGAAACATCGATCAGCTGCCTCCTGCACACCTCCCACTGGGGATGTGCCTGCAACCAAGGTACATGCCCTTGACCGGAATCGAACCTGGGACCTTTCAGTCCGCAGGCCGACGCTCTATCCACTGAGCCAAACTGGTTTCGGCCTAAGTATAATTTTTAAAAAGGAAATTTAAAGCTGCCATTCACTTATTAACACTAAACTTGACTATGGTCAAGACACTTTTGGAATCACATACCGTGGGAATCAAAGATGGAGAAGTCCTAGTCCCTGCTCTCAAGGAATGCACGCTTCTTCACAGCCTAGATACTGAAAGTCTTCCTTCAAAACACAATCTATCCAATTTTGCAGCACATACAGGCATATTCATATAAGGGGCAGGTAGCTGCTCTGGTGACCCCACTTACAGCCTACGCCAAACCTAGTTATCCTGACCACCCTGCTTCCTCCTGTCTTCGATTTTACTACCAGTTCTTTTCCTCTCCCCCAAATTACTCTGTTTTGCATGATCATTGGGGATATCGTGATGTACTAAAGAGAACAAGACAACTGGCCCCATCTTTAAAAAATGACCATAAAGTAGCCTTCAGTGATACCATGTCCCTTTTAATAGATAATATGCTAGTGACGCCTATGGTTTTTCATTTCAATCCAGGTAGAAATTTGTCCCTAAGGAACAGGTTAAACAGATGTATTTTGGGGCAAAAAAAAAAAAAAAGACCTCAGAGATTTTTTCACAGCAAATGTTTTCAAGTATTTTATCCAAAAGAACACAAAACAAACCACGGACAAAATACAGTGCTCTGGTATATAACTCAGTTGGTTCTAAAGATTGTGCATCTGAAATAATACAACAGAAACCTAGTATCTCAATGTATCAGAAGTGAAAAGTAGAGAGCAAAAAATTAATATAGCTGATAGTTAAAGAAAAAATAAAAGGTTTTTTGTAAAGAATAATATTAATATCATTATAGTATATAGTATATATTACAATACTAAAGAAAATAAAACCTGACAATAAATTATTATTGATTTTCTGAAATACTAGATGGCATTCATCTCTTAAGCATTTCCCTTGCAAAAATCAAAAAGTAGAAAGTAGTATTCCCTATGTTTAATTTCATCTCATCAGAACAGGCACGATTAACAGTTTCAGCAAAATCCAATGAAAAGTCCACTTGGCCCAACCTGCGTGGCTCAATGGTTGAGTGTTGACCTATGAACCAGGAGGTCACAGTTCAATTCCCGGCCCGGGTTGTGGGCTCAATCCCGTGTGGGGCATGCAGGAGGCGGCCAATCGATGATTCTCTTTCATCATTGGTATTTCTATCTCTCTGTCCTTCCTCTCTGAAATCAATAAAAATATATTAAAAACAAAAGTCCACTTGACACCAGTTATATCAAATTGGAGGGAAGGGCAGAGACTCAACAAAGCAATTAAAAATGAGTTCAGAGGAACGTGAGGTCAGCAAGATGAAGGGCTAGGCAGTTCCAATGCTCATCTTCCCACAAAAAAATAAACTACAAACCAACAAGGGCAAGGGATGGGGAAAATGGGATGACATAGGACAAAGGGTACAGACTTTCAGTTATAAAAAGAATAAATTCTGAGGATCTAATGTACAACAAGGTAACAATGGTTAAACAGTATTATGTCCTTGAAAGTTGCCGAGACCTTAGGAATTCTTACCACCAAAAAAAAAAAAAAAGAAATATGAGGTGATACATGTGTTAACTATTTTGATCTTGGTAATCCTTTCACAATGGGTATCAAATGATCACATTTACACTTTAAATATATACAATTATATTTGTCCATTATTTCTGCATAAAGTCTAGAAAAATGAATTAGGACTATAACGCATCACCAGATAAAATATTTGGTTGAGCCAAAGGATACTGAGAGCTTATAATGTTGAGGTCTTAACAATAAATATAAAATGAGCTTCTTGGTACTTGGGTACTTAGCAAAAAGAAAAATCAGCAAAGAAATTGGCAGCTTGACTTAAAAAGAAACAAAAAAGGAGGGCAAGGTAATATTTCTTTGTCATTCTCAGATTTCCCACTTGCAGCTTCAGCTATTGATGAGCAACTCTAGAAGCTGGTGAAAGGTAATTCCAGTTTTGCCATGGCCATGAATTTGAATTCTATGGTAATGTGGTTAATGTGGCAAAATCACCCAAGGAGTATGTCAAATGGATCTCCTAGCATCCACATTTCAATAGTGGTTTGCTATTCTCTGCCATGGCACAGTAGCTCAGCAAGTATTTGAAGGAAATTCTTTAAAACTTTCAGTAATATCATATGATATATTATATGGTGATATTTGTTATTCAAAAATCTCAGCATATATTCACTTCACCTCCAGAGTTTACTGTAAAAACCTAAAATTTCTAGATGTTTCACTATACTCCACATCAATTTGTCTAAGGGCATCATATACCCCGGTGCCTTCTATTGTCCACCTGTTATTCTCTATTATGCTGATTCTACAACTACTACCCAAGGGCAGAAATTCATTCTTTTAAGTAGGAACCTACAGCACTGTGTATATTTTCATACCAAGAAAAATACCTTTTATCCTATCCATCACGGTTGAAAAACCTCTATAAAATTCATTTGATTATAACACATAAATCATTAAAATAAAGTATCATCACAATTATTAAAAAAGAAAAAAGCAATGTCAATGAAAATGCTCCATGGAAAAAAATGCCGATGAAATTATTCATGAAAGCTATAGGAGAAAATGCAAGTCTGAAAATACGTACTTTTAGCTTCTAAATAAAAAGAGTTTTCCTTTCTCAACTCTGTGAACACATTTTTGTTTTTACAACTAGTTAAAAATTAACTATTCAACATTTAGTGGTCACTATGTAAAATCAGTTTTTAATAAAAACATAAAACATGGTAGAAAGCATTACTTGACTTTATTAACCTCACTCACAATGTTAAATACAAATAAAAAATTATGACCCTTAGTTTTAAGTCTACTTCAAAGCATGGTCTCTTAGATTTAAGAATTAGGGCAGATATATGTCATGAGCAGGAGGGGAATCAAAAAGCCAAGTCACCAAATCCCACTGATTTATCTGTGTATTATAAAGTCTGAAGTATAGCCCTGATGTTCCTTTAAATGGTATTTTCTTCTGACTTGCCATTGTCATCAGTGCTAAATTTTTAACCAGACCCTATAATCTATCACAAGTCTTACAATTATAAATTGAAAACAAACACAGACAAGTATGTGTACCACGTACTTTATGAAATTCACCACAAACAGTTGAACTTCACACATAAACTTCAAAAATCAATAGGACTATATTATTAGAAACCAAAAGCTATATAAGGTCCACCTTCCAATCTTTTCTGCAATTAAGAAATAATTTGATCTAATGATGTTAATGTAGAAATACATTATATATTTTAACTCAGTAAGAGATGACAAAGGGAAACTCAATAAACCTTTGCATTTAAAACCAAAAGAAACACATCTTAGACACCTTAAACTATAAAATTCAGTTCTAAAGGAACTGTTACTGTGTAACAATTACTGCTCATATAAAAGTGCTGGTGACAAATAATTCAATATGCCCTCTCCACAGAATCTGTTCACGTATATGTATCTATAACTGTAAATAAGATTTTTTATCTAAGGTGCTTAAATTTTGCACTGCAAGACTAGTTCAATAAGTATTCATCTGCTATCCCTTTGTAGCAACTCCAGTTATAGTGAATGATCCATGGGCAAAAGGCAAAAAAGCTGTTATTTTCTAGAATGTGGCATTTGTGGAGGTGGAGCGCCCTCTATTGGTAATGAGGAAGACACACTCATTAACTGTCCTGCATGCATTTTTTCATTAATTCGGAGTTCGCATCCATCCTGAAGCATTCGAATTGCTATTCGGGCAATATTCTTGGAGTCATCAAGGCCACTGTGTGGCCGCCCATCATAATCCATTCCCAGTTTTTCAAGCATTATTGTCAGTTTGGTTTGGCCTCTAGGAACCTGAAAAATAAACAAACAATAAATAATTCTTTATTATTCTAACAGTGACTATGAAGTAAAAAAATAAGAAAGAAAATTAATAGTAATAGCTAAATAAAGTTAAGCAAAGGGCAAATACTCCTGGTTAAAGTAAATTAATAATACAAACCTCCATGGCTCTAGTATTTTGGATGAAAATATATGTATCGACAGGTGAAATCCTCAAGACATCTAAAAAGTTTACAGTTTTATAATTTAACAAATCATTTACAAAAGGAAATGTGTTGTTCTTCTAAACTGAAGCTCTACCATTTTACCCCAAACTAATTCTTTTTCACATGGTATTTTTCTGTAATGTATTATTTTACTTGAATGACTCCTTAGACAGAGATACCAAACATATCTGGCTCAGTTGGTTGGAACATCGTCCCGTGCACCAAAGGGTCTCAGGTTCGATTCCCAGTCAGGGCATATACCCTGGGTTAAATCCCAGGTCAGGGCATGTATGGAAGGCAACTGATCAATGTTTCCCTCTCACATTAATGTTTGTATCTCTCTCTCCCTCTCCCTTCTCTCTCTAAAGCCAATAGAAAATATATCCTTGGTGAGAATTTTTTTAAAAAGAATGAAAGACAATGCCACGTATTTTTCAGCCTATTTAAATACTCGCTCCATTTGGATCAGTGGTCGGCAAACTGCGACTCGGCAAACCGGGGCTCTCGAGCCACATGCGGCATTTTTGGCCTCTTGTGTGGCTCTTCTACAAAATACCGACTTCTGCGCATGGGCCACAAAGTTTCAATCGCACTGTACGTGCGCGCCCTCACGTGGTATTTTGTGGAAGAGCTACACTCAAGGGGCAAAGAGCCGCATGTGGCTCGCGAAGCCGCGGTGTGCCGACCACGGATTTAGATAAATATAAAAATCTCACACACTCCTTAAATTTCACTTTTGAGAATCACTATACATCAATTGGTTGCCTCCTGCACAAGCCAGGGAGGAGCCTGCAACTGACGTACATGCCTTTGACCAGAATTGAACCCAAGGCCCTTGGTCCATAGGCCGACACTCTATCCACTGAGCCAAACCGGCTAGGGTAGAATTACATTTTAAATGTATGGTAATACCAGATGCTGGCAAAAACGTGAAACAATTATCAATTCATATATTCTTCAGGTGAAAAGTACAAATTGATGTAACTCCTTTTGGAAAACTCTGTTTGCATAATCTAGTAATGCCAATGATACACATGTCCTATACCCAAGCAATTCCACTCCTAGGTTTATAGCCAGGAGAAATGAGTGCACAAAAACACAAGAAGACATACACAAGAATGTTCCTAGCACTACTGTTCATAAAAGCCTCAAACTGGAACCCAAATGGCCAGCCAAAGTACACCAGATAAACTCTGGTATATTCACACAATGGGATTCTCAATAAAATAAATGTGCTATAGCCAAATACACAACATGGAAAATTTCAACCATAATGTTGAGGGAAAAGCAAAATAAACAAAACAGTCAGTATGGTGCTAATTATATCATGTTCAAAAATAGGCAAAACCTAACTTTATGATATAAAGATAAGCATATACATATTAAGGCTATACACAAAAGCAAGAAAATGATTCCTATTAAAAGTATGGATTAGGGGAGCTCTGGGAGGAAGGGGGGATGAATAAGTGGAAATTACAAGGGATTTCACTTTAAACAACCTGTCAAACTCCACTTTTCTGTAGTCATAGTTCTCAGTTTTAAGAAATGTTAAAACCACACTCCAAAAACATTTTCAAACCAACAACTTTTCTCATGAACCTACTTTAGGATGTGCTTCACCAAAATGAAATAGTAAAAGAAGAAAGATGAGAGAGATGAGAGAGAAGCAAAGGAAATCTCCTAGATGATTTTAGAAGCCTGAACAACAAATAGTTCAGATCAGAACAGGATTAAAGGCTCCAGGAAGTTATTCCCCAAAGGAAAAACAAAAAAAACAGACTACAGATGCTGAGAAGTGATTTACCGTTTCAATGGAAAGGAACAGGATAAGAAAACTAAAGTTGATTATTAAATCTGAGGAAAAGCTATGAACACAATCCATCATCATCTATAACAGTAAAAGTGTAATATGCTAATTAGATGAGACGTCCTTCCAGATGTCCTTCCGGACGAAGCCGGAGCTGTGAGGGAAGCCTGGGTCCCGGGTGCCAGAGGGAAACCGGTGCCAGCAGCTGGGGGAAGGAAGGCCTACTCTTGCATGAATTTCGTGCATCAGGCCTCTAGTAGGAATATAAACACTGAATAATGATTCAATTATAGAGATAATGTAACTATATCAGAAAGATGCAGGGAGAAGGACATGCAAAATAGTGGCTTTTCAAGAGAGCTAAATCTTCATCTTCCATTGCAGGAGATTAATAGATACCTCAAACTGAAATTCAAGAAACAGTATAAACACATAATTTAGAAATATTAAGGTATTAGAAGAAATAGCTTTAAAAAGTTGAAAGTGTTTGTCTCAGGAGAACAGAAACCAGTACTGATAAGGGCTATGGTGGAAAACTGCCAACGGTTAACAGCTTTGCAATATTATATTTTAAAATTTTTCATTTAATAAATGTTTTACATGTATTCAATTTGATAAAATTAAAATTCAGTGGTGATTAACTGTTCCACAAACAATCCACATATTGAATACCCCAATAGTTTCAAACCTGTTATTGACAATCATGTTAACCCACTTACATAACAGATTAAAAGAAAAAACAGCTTCTCTTTCTAAACTCATATGAACATAACTAATTTGGAATCTGAAAAGTAACAACTAATTATATGGCCTTTTTCTGTGAAAAGCACCTAGTGAATCATAACTTAATGTGTATGCAAAACATAATAAACTTATCAACAGCTTAAAAATATAATCAAAATACAGAAATTGTTACCTTGTAAAAATTTCCATATGACTTTCGAATATTGATCCACTTTTTAGCAAAAGGAGGATATTTCAGCCTGCTGAGCCGGCACTGAATGTTCAGGAATTTACTCATATCCCACGAACTTGTAAATCAAAAACAGGAAATAAATGGATAAAATAAATGCTATACTATTTTTACAAATGAGTATTTTAACTCATTCTGTTTTTTATTTACACGACACCTTTCTTTCTTACACTTACACATAACATAGAGCTTAGGAAATTAAAATTTCTTCTTCTAAAATACTAATTCAAAAATAAACTAACAAAAAATAAGTTGGGTATATCAAATTTTTTTCACAATCTATTAGAGTTATCTTGATTATTTTTATGGTTCTGATTATCTAGGCAAACCTCTATCTTGTTGAATATTTTCTCTTAATTCTAAAATAATTCTGCTAAGCGTACTTTTAGTGTCAGGTTTATCATATTGGGAAGTTTTATGAGGGTATATTTTGAAATACAACAAAAACAAATGAACAAAATACCTGAAAGACATAAAAGGAGCTGGTATCAGGTAGTTAGAATACAATTTGGTCTGTTACAGTATGTTCCTAAAATACTAATCAACCTGTGTAATTAAATAGGAGAATATGGACTGTATAATGCAGAAACTGTGTTGGTTTAATACGTGGGTTTTACTAGCCAGAGGGAGTCAGAATGATAGCAAACTTATAACCTTCAGCAGAAAAAAACAAAAAAACAACTCTCGCCCTGGCCGGCTTGGCTCAGTGGATAGAGTGTCAGCCTGCGGATTGAAGGGTCCCAGGTTCGATTCCGGCCAAGGGCACATGCCTGGGTTGCAAGCTTGATCCCCAGGTCGGGGGCATGCAGGAGGCAACCAATCAATGATTCTCTCTCATCATTGATGTTTCTATTTCTCTCTCCTTCTCCCTTCCTCTCTTAAATCAATAAAGAAATATATATTAAAAAAAACAAAAAAAACTCTCAACTCAGCTACTGTACCAGCAACAGGAGTACTTTCAAATGTATTTTAAGAAAATTAAAAATAAGTGCCTGTCCCAGAATCCCATTGCTTCCATCCTCTCATGCAACTTCAGTAAAGTCCCCACGGAGATGCTTGCCTGGCTGTCCAAATTATTACTGCCTTTATTAGTGCTCTGGTTAATTGCACAGGTTATGAATGGTCTGTCCCAGAATGTGAGGTTTTTACAGAATCCCACACACTGTGTCACAACAAAAACATCTGTATACTTGAGCAGGAACACTGATCATTCGTGTTTGAAATCAATAAGATTTCTAAAGAGGTACATCAACATTTTCCCATGCATTGTTAAAACATCATTACAATGTGATTAAAAGCAATGCTCTTTCCTTGTTGTATGTAAGGGTCTCTAAACCCTTTATGTGGGTGACATCGTAGCTGTAGTGTACAATCTGTCCACAGTTTGAAACAGAAGTTGTTTAGAACTTCCTTCTTGAACCTGAATAGCATTATGGGAGGAGCTGCCTTGGCATAGCTTCTTTTGATGTTCCTCATTTCCCAGTTAGTCTTTCATTTCACAAATGCCTTTGGAGCATACATGTTTAACTCAACACTACAGTAAGCGCTATATGAAAGACCACCAAGTAGCCAAAGTCCCTGCTCTGAGAGGATTTTTAATCTCTTTGCAAACATAAGTCTTCTGTACATAAAGTTTAGATATCAGAATATTTAGTCAGATGTTAATATGAATGGTACACATCAGAGAGGTTTTTATATGATTTCAAGAAAAAAAGAATCAATGTCAATTGGAGTGTCTGGAGTAAACATGTGGTAGGCTTTGAATAATAACAAAGAAGCGGTAAAGGAAGAGAGCCTTCCAGTAGAGAGAAAAGTGTAAGTACATAGGAAAGGATAAACCATGTGATCCGTGGGCCAGCCTGACTAAAGTAAAAAAGAATGGCAGGTACCTTAGCTACACAGGGAGGGCAACATTAGATGAGAGATCCTTGAACGCAAGACTGAAGAGTTGGACTTTTCTGAGCAAGAAAGTGTCCTTATGTGAAACAGTTTTAGTTTCACATATTAATATGTATCTTTTTCTAGCCTTCCAGTCCTGGATTAGACTGTTTTTCATTGCTTTCAATGATAACAAAAGGAAAAATATTGTCTCCTTTAGTAAATAACATTCTTATGGTTATTCTAAAAGTTAAATAAGGACATCCTTAATCTTAAAAAGTAAATAAAAGTATTATAAATTTTCCTACTTACCCATCTGTTAATATACAATACTTATACTTTGTTCCTAATTCCTTCAATTTCATCCAGTCAATTACTTTTTTCAGTACCTGAGGGAAGGTATCAGCTTTGTCTACCTGGTCCTGAGGATATAAAAGTAAAATACACAAAAATCAGAGTAGCAACAGGTAGTCATACAAAATACCCAGACACAAACACTGGAGGGAAAGGAACAGAATGAGAGTCTTATCTATGATGTTTTAAATTCTTCATGATTTCCTTGGCTGAGATACACCTAACATTTCATTTTTAAGATAATTAAAAATTGTTTATAGCCAAGTATTAGGGACTACTTTCAAGTGAAGCACATAATCCTCCCAAAATTAAGACTTAGGATCATCCTCAATGGTTCTCTTTTTGTACGCCTCAACCTAGCAGCTTACCAATTCTCTGGAGTAGAGAAAAGGGAAATCTCTTCTCACTGAAAGCAATAGCCCTCTACACTAATCTATCTCAAAGCTCACCTCTTTCTACCACATACTACATACCACTGCCAAACTGATCTTCCTAAAATGTAAATCTTACCCATCACATCACTTTCATACTTAAAATCCTCCAAACACTCTCCAAGGCTTTCAAGATAAAAAGACACACAAGACTCTTCATAACATGGCATGTCTCAGCTACCACTTTAGGTTTATGTGGGAGCATAAGCCTGTGAACATCATGAACTACTTACAATCCTGCTGTTACACCTAAAATGCCCAGTCATTCTTTTCCACCTACTGACCTATCCTGACTCAGCCCAAGTTCACCAACATGAGCAAGTTTCTCCCAGGACAGCCCCTCTGTCACAGGAAGCCCCTTTCTTAGAAGCCTATGATACCCTGATGAAACACTAACTTACTTGTCGGCCTTCCTAACCATACTGTGACCACCGGTTTCTTCTTTGTGTCTTCCGGAATATAGATGGTTAACTGAACTGAGAGAGAGACTGACTTGACCATCTTCGTAGCCCTAGTACCTTGGCAAATAGTATAGTAGGCAGTCAAATATTTGTTGAGTGAGTGAATGAATGAATAAATAAAGGAGCTAAATAAATGAACAAAGGGCCTGCCACATTAGAATACAACCAGAAATCAGAGACTAAAAAAAGTAACTATACTGTATATAAAGTCAGGTTGATAACAGATATATTTTTAAACTTTAGCTCCAAGTTCAGCACAGTAACACTTATTTTACTAACACTGCAAACAAACGAATCTTTAGATTCATCATTACAACTCCTTCAAAGGAAAAGTTGAGAAAAATTTTAGATACAGAATTTGATTTTCTATTTCTTAAACATTACAATATGAAAAATCTTTGCCCAGCAAAGTACCTATTAACTTAAACTATGAAATAAATCGCTAATTTCAAAACAATTTTCAAACTCCTGAAAAAGGAACATAGAATTATAACCTGAGTAATTCCAGTTAAATTGATGCAGAAATCAGAAAGCTGGGTGTTAACCTCTGGTCTCACATACTGCTGAAACGTATCTTCCTATAAGGAAAGGACAGCAAGTTAATGTCTTTTTATGACTTAAGATACGTGACACATGATACATAACAAATACAACCACATAAGATTATAACTATAGGTGCTTATGGCATAGAACTTCTAGTTTTAACAATTTAAGGGTACTTCCCTGTTCCCAAAGCACTCTGATTTTCCCCTCATAATCCATTTTAATTAAGGCAGCGCTGATAAATTCTCCAGAAACACTGATTTTTTATTTTAAAAATTACTTTTCAGTTTTAAAAATTTTACAATAAAGCAAGTGTCTGCAAGCAAGCCAGCAAACTGAAGTTGAAATAAACGTTTTCCAGAGAAACATGATGTAATTTTGTTTGTAATATTTTGAAACTGTCAGACTATTAAATGCAACCTCTAATTCAAGATACTAAAAGCTTTTTAAATTATAATTCCTTTAAATAGCAGTCTTGAGTTAAAATAAATTACCTCCAGATTACTGCTAACTCATTTACTCAATAGTCATTATACTAAGATTCCATTAAAATGAACTCTGAAGTCAAAATTTGACTCTGATATCTCATAGTGTTGGGAGTAACTTTTGAGTAGATGAAATGTTATGATATATTATCTCTCAGATTTTACAAGGTGAACAGTATTATTATGGAGAATTCCTGCTGACTTCCTGAACTAGTAACACGGATAACTAGTATCTAAAGCACATACATATTCACATGGCTAAGGAGCCTAGGTTATGAGAGTTGTTTCCCCCATAAACTTATCACCAGAAAGATGGCCAGTTCTAAGTTGAAAGGTGATTTCTGTAAATTATCATTTTCAGAGATCAGAGGATACATTAGCCTATAGCAGTGGTTCTCAGCCCTGACTGCATATTAACTGAGCAGCTTTAAAAATTATTGACGTCAGGGACCCCAGCATAGAACAACTAATCCAGAATCTCTGGGATAAGGGCCAGGCATCAGCACTTTTTTTCACAACCCAGGAGATTCTGAAGTCTAGCCAGATATGTGTTCTAAGCAAACAGAAAAAACACTATCATTTTAGCTACTGGAAAAAGAGAAAGCAGACTCTAAAATATTTTATTATAGCTTTTCTATTAATCAAGCTGATACAAAGCACACCGCGAGAGCAAAAGGCCCACTTAGAATTCTAATTCTAGCTGAAACAGCAATTGAGGTCCTTTGCCTTACTAACCAATCCCAGAATAGTTACTGCTAAAAGTAAAATTAAAATATAACAATTCACTTACTATTTCTAAGGTACCAGTATTCAGTAAAACAACAGGAAATTCAATTATTTCATGTATGAACTCGGGTGGGTTACCCTCTTCACAAGTAGCTTCAAAGTCAATAATACAAATGTAGTCGTAGTAACTGTCAGCACAATTGTCCTCTTTCAACATCAGCTTCTGCTTCTTATAATAGTTTTTCAGCCTCTTCTTTAGTACATCCTTTACTCCTCTAGGGAAAATAATAAAATTAACTCTTAGGTGAATTTCATGGTCAAGAATCTGAACTCTTACCTGATGTCACTGGATTGAACACCTACAGTGACAGCATAATTTAGTAAATGTTAACTAAAATATATGTAAAGAAAACAAGACTCAAAGCTCATTTAACAAAGAACAAATTAAAATATATGTTTAATACAGCATCAATATTTTCTTTTGCAAGTACCTTTTCATTTTGTAGTATGTAAGAGCATTTTTTCTTCAATATATTCTAGCACTTCGAACCGTAAGCCTTGCCAGCATACACCACCTACATAGCCATATTGTTTTAAGATTAAGATGACATACATGACACAAAAACTGAAAATAATATTGACTTATTCTACTAGCCAAATATAAATTTCAGAGTATAAAAATTCAAGAAAATTGAACATATTGTGCTATCTCTCTCTTTTGGTTTTTGCACATTAAACAACTAAAAAAGTCCATATGAATATGAAAACATATGTACCTAGTATATAAACCTGAATATCTGTTAGTTAATTAAGTAGAAAAACTAACTCAGAAGGCACCTTAGGCCCTGGCAGGGTAGTTCAGTCGGGAGCAGCATCCCAATTCGCCTAGGTCACGGTTCAATCTCCAGTTAGAGCACATACAAGACTTAACCAATGAATGCTATTTATGTTCCACTTATTTATAGTGGAACAATAGATCAATATTTCTCTCTCAAAATCAATACATTAAAAAAAAAGATACCCTAGAGCACTGATGGCGAACCTTTTGAGCTCGGCGTGTCAGCATTTTGGAAAACCCTAACTTAACTCTGGTGCCGTGTCACACACAGAAAATATTTGATATTTGCAACCATAGTAAAACAAAGACTTATATTTTTGGTATTTATTTTATATATTTAAATGCCATTTAACAAAGAAAAATCAACCAAAAAAATGAGTTCGTGTGTCACCTCTGACACACGTGTCATAGGTTCGCCATCACTGCCCTAGAGTGACCTGTGTCCAGAAAAACACTGTGATACTCAGTAAGTTCTTAATTAGATGTAGCTTTCTTAATTTACCATGGATAGAATGTGAGTTAGTAGATTTCAGTATTACAGGTATTTTTAAAATACATGTTCCACAAATGGGGGGTGGGAAATGTTTGTTCTAAATAGATAACAATGGCTGGTAATGGTGGTCGCCCACGTTCTTCAAACAGTATGTATTTCTTCAAAAAAATGTAACAACCAGTGCTCAGACTTCCCTCAGTACCTATTGGTTGAGTCCTATAAATGGCTTGCAAATTCATAATGGCAGTAAAAATGAGATCTTATTAATTAATGTGTAGGGACAAGTAAGGTATTTTGGTCACATCAGCAATTAGTGACTACTAAAAAAAATGTTTTTAACTTTTGTTTTCCTTTCTAAACTACCACTGAAAAGCAACCCTGCCCATGAAAATATTGATAATTAACCAGTTAGTTGTTTTAAAACGAAATACCTTAATATATTTATTTATTGGCTAACTGACTGCCCCGCCCTCAAAGATGGCGGCGCCCACAGCCAATGCGGAGGGAATATGCTAACTGACCACCCCGCCCTCAAAGATGGCAGCGCCCACAGCCTCAAGATGGTGGTGCCCAGTCTCCTCAGCCCCGCCAAGGCAGCAGGCGCGCGGCAAGGCCAGCCACAAGATGATGGTGCCCAGTCTCATCTCCGCGCACCTGCCTCCGGAGTCCCCCAGTCCCTTCAGCCCCCCAGCCGCTCAGGCGGCCTGAGGTGCAGGTAACCAGGGCCGCCCGAGGCTTGCGCTGCCGGCAGTGGCAGCAGCAGAGGTGTGATGGGGGTGTTGCCTTCCCCTGATCACCAGGTCGCCTCCCGCCCCTGAGGGCTCCTGGACTGTGAGAGGGGCAGGCCGGGCTGAGGGACGCCCCTCCTCCAGTGCATGAATTTTCTACTCTCTCTATATAAAAGGCTAATATGCAAAGTGTCCCGTCGGAAGTTCGATAGGGAGACTAGGAGTTCGATCGCTCACTATGACGTGCGCTGACCACCAGGGAGCGGCGCAGAACAAAGGAAGGTCCTAGCCGGTAGCCAGGGAAGGAAAGCCCCAGCCAGCAGCCAGAGGGCCCTGATTGGCCCTGATACCCAGTCAGGCCTAGGGACCCTACCTGTGCACTAATTTCATGTACTAGGCCTCTAGTAATACATATGGACAAAAGAAATTATTCAATCTCATTATAAAATATTATCCAGTGACCAAATGAGCAACTGAAAGAACTTAAAACATATTTGGTATATTAAGATAGATATTCCTGCTGAAACCGGTTTGGCTCAGTGGATAGAGCGTCGGCCTGCGGACTGAAGGGTCCCAGGTTCGATTCCGGTCAAGGGCATGTACCTGGGTTGTGGGCACATCCCCTGTGGGAGATGTGCAGGAGGCAGCTGATCGATGTTTCTCTCTCATCGATGTTTCTAACTCACTATCCCTCTCCCTTACTCTCTGTAAAAAAATCAATAAAATTTATTAAAAAAAAAAAAAAGATAGATATTCCTATACACTACTGGTAGGCTGTCAAAATATTCAGACTTCGACTCCCCAGTCCTAGACAATCACCTAAAAGACTGACAGAAAAAAAAAGAGTTGCACACAAAGATTCAAGTACAGACAAGAATATAAATTACAGTTGTTACTTGAATTTTTAATAATGGCTATTTCTTTATGGCAAGATTATTTTTAACTTTTTTCAGTGTTTTTAAGATTTTCTAGGATGAGCATGTACTATATTTATAATTTTATTTACCTGGTTTCAAGCTTGAATTCTGAAAGTTTAGCTCTGAGTTCTTCCTTACTCATTCTATTAATGCAACCATTTGTAATAGCAATCTCTTTGTAAACTGGGTCACTGAAATCACTTGAATGGGAGGTAATGAACTTAGATCCTTTTGTTTCTTGGCCATCATACCTACATCGTTGCTTTTTCTACCAAAAAAAGAAAAAGATATAGTTTAAAATTAGTACAAGCATCTTAAAGATTCAAACGTCTGAGGATGGAGTCTCTGTGCTCCATGTTCAATGAAACATGCCTGTTGCAATCACTGGAAGAAAGGCAGGATAGGAAGAGATGTGTTTCCAATACAATTGAGACTGCTCTCTCCTGAGTCAAGAAGTTCCTTATAAACAATGAAGCTAAGTAAAAAGAGCACTGATGTTGAGTACAGAGCCACAGCTGACCATTTACTAGCAGCATGACCTTAGGTAGTTACTAATTAACCTCTGATTATCCATTTCCTTATCAATAAAACAAAGTATAATGACAATTGTCTCAAATGGTATTTGGTATTGGTAATGGTAAATAGTATTTAGGCAAGATTATTATAAGGAACAAATGAGGTTTTGTGTATCAGGCTCCTACTACCATACCCACCTTGGCTATTAATAAGTGGTAATTTTACTATTACTCCCACAGATTATAGAACAGACCTTCTCACTAACAATATTCTAAAATTTAAAAACTAATTTTTAAATGACTCATTACAACATTATGCATGTATAAAGCAATGACTTCCTGAGAATTTTTTCACCTGACTTCATTTCACAATGCTAACAGAAATTGCCCAATATAAAAACATAGACTAGAAATCTAATTCAAAATTTCCTAGTACCCAAGGTAAAAAAGAAAATGTATTCAGCTTCAAGCAGACAATTTCCAAAAGTCACATGTAACAGTTATTCAGGATAACTATATTATGATGTTATAAACCTTTCTTCTTTTCTTAAAAATATTTTTTGTTGTTTTTTTTTTTTTGCCTGGCCAGCATGGCTCTGTGGCTGAGTGTCGGATCTAGGAATCAGGAGTTTGCTGTTTGATTTCTGGTCAGAGCACATGCCGGGTTGCCGGCTTGATCCCCAGTGCGGGGCATGAAGGAGGCACCCGATCAATGATTCTCTCTCTTCATTGATGTTTCTATCTCTCACTCCCTCTCCCTTCCTTCTGAAATCAATAAAAATAGGTTAAAAACAAAACTGCATTCAGACACTAAAAAAACACCTTAAAATAGTGAATTTAAGTGGACTACTACCATTTCAAAAGAAGAGTTCTGATGGAATCTAAACCTACTTGTTAAAAATATAAAAATGCAACACTCGTTTACAAATACAATTGATATTAGGAGTAATGGAAATTTACTTAGCTAACTTCCAACCACAAAAAAAAACCAACTCTGCTTGAGAATAAAAAAAATCAAAAACCCACATCATCATATTAAGAGTATCCAACAATAGATCTTTAACAAATATGACAGTCACTGAAACCAATCTGGAACACAGACCCAGGCCTTACGTCACCATAGCTCCAAGTTTCAAGACGGAAATATCATGAAGCATATTCAATTCTACTTCTTACTAAAATAAACTTTAAAAATTATTCTCAAACTGACTTACATGATGAAGTTGTTGGCAGTGCCACAGACTGAAGAGGGAAATGAGGTGAAAGAAGACTGGGTCTCTAGAGAGAAGGCCCCTGGAAGGCCTTCTTCAAAGTGACAGGTAAAGGAGAACGAGGTAACTGTGCAAAACCCCCAGGAAGAGCATGCGGGGGCATAGGCAACCCTTAAAGGCCAGGCGGCCAGGCGCCTGGGAGCAAAAGGTCAGAACAGTGCGCGGAAGCAGTTACTATGGACACAGGAACCACGCCTGCGGGGCCACAAACTGAAGACGAAGGAGGGGAGCAACCCGGTCCGATGGGTTATTTAAAAAGATCATTCCAGCTGCCACTTGCAGAATTAGCTGCGGGATGGAAGCAGCACTAGCCAGGAAGCCTCTTGCCAGTAGAGCATTCACTCCAGGAGGCACTCAACATGAATTTGCTGGTAACAGAAAATGACGAATTTTAGTATTAGATCGTTTTACAATCCGCAGCGCTGGTCACAGTAACTAGATTCATTCACGAAGATGAATAACGAAGCTCCTAAGTCCGTTTTTACAATTGTGCCACTGTAACTACCAGTGAACCGTCGCAGTCATTAAGAAAATTAGTCACTCGTATGTCTACGTGAGATAGCAATAAATGGACAAAAATGTCCAGCAGACACCAAAGGCTGGAAGGAAGGAGGAGATGGGCCTAAAGGTCTCCAGTGGCATACACACTGCGATTTTTAGAAAAGCACACAGCCTGCCAATTACCGATACGGCTGGGGAGAACGACTACAGCAACAGCGTGCACTGCACGTTCAGGTGGGAATTCCCACCCAACTTCTCAAGGCCCGGGTCACGTGCTTCCCTCCTGGCCTGTTCACTCCCACCCAGGAGGCCATTCGGACCGGCGAGAGCTCTAGGACAACCACCCCGAGGAAAGGCCCCCCGAGCTGGGACAGAAAAGGCGTCCGGCTGCGGCCAGAGGGCGCGCAGGCTGCGGACCCCGCGGAACACCCAGGAAGAAAGGGGCGCGCGGGCGTCCGGGGCGGCGGGCTGCTCTCACCTCGGGATGCCGGAGCTGCGGCTCCTCCCCGGACTCGGACCGCGGCGACTCCTGCCGCGCGGGAGCCACGGCCTTGCCGCCAGGCTGTAGGCGCTGATCAGGCTCCATGCCGAGTGTCACGTAAGAAGAGGGCTGTGGAGACCGACACTCGCTCACTCTCACGCCGCCAGACTCGAAGACCTCGCCTCTCTACGTGGAAAAACTACCGGCTGCAGTTCCCGCGGCGGCGGCCACACAAACTCGAGCAGACACCTCCCACTTCCGGGAGCGTGCGGCGTCCACACGCCGCGCAGGCGCAGTGAGCCGGCGCGCACGGAACGCCAGCGTCCAGGCCGACGCGGGCGGGAGGAAGGCGGAAGGAGGCGCTCGCCGCGGGGGGCGGGGGGGCGGGGGGGGGAGGAGGGTTGGGACCGGCTTTCCCGCCCCTACGCGGAGGCGGGCCCCTATTGAAGTTACTCCGGGGCCTAGACCCCAGTCAGAGGACACCACAGAGAAAATGACCCCATCAACGTTTTCTGAGAAGGAGAGGTGGAATTTAACCATAGCAAACAAAATAAGACGTCTTCTTCAGGACAAGAAGAAATGGGCCTGGACTTACTAAAAAAAAAAGAAAAACTAAAAAACCTGAACATAATGTATGAAACAACTGTTTTCAGACAACGGGCAGCAAGCAGCCTGGACTGTTGTACCTGACAGAAAAGAAACAAGGTGACCCCTCCGTCACCCTGTGGAGGTAATTTCCAGTGTGAGGGGCAGGGAAGAGGAACTCAGAGGCTGAGGGAAACTGAGAAGACCGGTGAGTTTAGGGGGTTTGTAGGCCAACTGGTTGAAATTGATGAGTTGGAGTTCATGGAGAACGAGTTTCAGAAATCTACGTGGAAATACCCCGGAATCTTTATTAGAATAAAAATTAGTGACTAGGTCACGGGAAACTCCACAAGGCTCGGAAAGAACAATTTTGGGGGAGCAGGAAGCCATACACTTCTCAGAGCTCACACAGGACGAGGAATCATGAGTTCCCTGCAGCCGGAGTTGAATATGTCTAACTCCCTCCAAAAGGCTGGGACAAAACCTAGGACTCAAGAACATTCAATTCAATATACCAGGTATCCAGGCAAAACTTTAATAGACATGCCAAGGAATAAGAAAATATATCACACAGGCGATGGAACCATCCAAAAAGGACAAAAATGATGACATTAATAGGCAAGGACTTTAAACACCTATTATAAATGCACTCAATATGCTCAAGTATTTAAAGGAAAAGATGGCAGGAGAGAAACAAGAATTTTTTTGTGTGTTGTTGTGTGTGTTTTTAAAAAGATAAAACAAGTTGAATTTCTGGAGATGAAAAATACCTGAAATTTCATGACTGACTGGGTGGGAGCATTAGCACATCAGGCACTGCAAAAAATAATAATGATAATAATAATGAATTTGCAGACCCAGCAATAGAAACAATCCAAAACATAGCACAGAGACAAAATAGACTGAAAAAAAAATAAAAAAAGACCAAGCCTCGGTGACGTATGGGACAATATACAAGAGGCTAATTGCAGACCCGGAAAGGGGATGAGGGTGAAGAAAAAAATATTTGAAGTAATGGAAAAAGGTGTTCCAAATTGAATGAAGCATATAAACTATAGATCCAAGAAGGTCAAAGAAATCCAAGTAGAATAACTATAAAGGAAACAATAGGATAAATCATAATCACACTGGTGAAAGACAGTGATAAGAGAATATCTTAAAAAGGTACATTATATACAGAGAACTGATAATAAGAAATTTCATAACTTCTCATTAGAAAATATGCAAGTCGAAAGAAAATGAAATGACAACTCTAAAGTGCAAAACAAAACTGTCAACTTAGAATTCTATACTCAGCAGAGTTAGACAGACTTTTTCCGACAAGCCCAGGAAAGCCGCCTCCTGAAGTAGAGCCACCTCAGCAGACTTGCATGCCTCTGAGGAAGAAAAATAGATGCTTATTATAGCCACTGGGATGGTTTGTTATTCAGCATTGTTATAAGGAATACAGGCTCACTTCAAGCCACATGGTAATGGGTGAGGGCATATAATTCCCTAAGAGAGAATGGGATACAACTAGAAATCTACCACAGTTATTTTACTTCTGATATCACCTGTGTCTTCCTAAGTGGACTGTATTTTTCCCCTTAAAACTACAGACTTACCTTTTTGTTTATAAACTAAGGTTTATAGACTCAGAAATTATAAAAGACTTCTAAGGTACAACTCCTGAACTAATATTCTCTTTTTACCAGGATTTATTCATTTTCTCTTCAGATAATGACTTTCAGTCTTGACACACAACTGCAGAGGATTGTTCATCTCATTTCTCTAAAGATATCTTTTCTCTTGAAGAAGAAAAAAAATGACCCAATGAACATTATCAGGATGCACATTAATAAGCACTAGGTATAAACTGTTTCACTTGAACTTTTTTATTTGATACATGTGACTCAACTGTTAAGAAGATTCACTATCAAGGATTGATCATCTATCTATACTGCAAATGATGGGCTCATACCTTAGTACTTCTGCCTGTATCTGTGGGGATGCTAAGATACAATAACCATTCATTCAACAATTATTTATTGAGCACCTTTTATGTGCCAAGAATGATCATTGAACAAAATGACAAAAACTTTGCTCTGGTGGATTTCACATTCAAGAAGCAGATTACAGACAATAAAAGAAATTAGTGTTTACAATATGGGGAAATATTAAGTAGGTAAGGGGGGGTTGCAATTTTAAATAGAGTGATTATGGGAGGTCTCCCTAATGATGTGCTGTTTGAACAAAGACCTAAAAAAGGAGCAAACTGTGAGGATATCTGGGGGGAGAGAATTTCAGGCAGAGCAGGCACCAAGTGAAAACGTCCCTAAGCTGAGAACATGCCTGGAATGTTCAAAAAGTAACACAGTGTCCCATACAGATGCTCCTTGACTGAAGACGGGGTTAGGTCCTGATAAACTTATTAAGTTGAAAATATTGTAAGTCAATATGCATTTAATACCATGCTATAGTATGTCAGTTGTTTACCCCAACAAGGGAGAAATCCCAAAGATGTTAGTGGCTTCTGCCTAAGAAGATATGTGCCCAGTTAAACAGCTAAAGGGGAAGGCCTCTCTAAATGTTTCAGGCATGGTACAAACCTAAAAGAGAATGTTTACAATTGGTTATTCTCTTTAAATGCAGTTGAATTTTGTATTATCCACTATTTCTTCTGTATATTACATAAATCATTTCCTTGCAAAAGGACCTTTTCCTTCTCTATGTAAACGGGTTTAACTCAAAAATTTTCAACTTAAAAAGACAAACCAAACCAAGCACTTCTCTCAATCTCAGAAACCCTACAGCTACTGCTCTATCTCTATCTCTATCTCTATCTCTATCTCTCTCTCCGACCCCCTTTGGAGATAAACCTCTTGAAAAAAAAGTGTCTCTTTTCTCACATCATCATTCACTATATAACCTATCCTAATTTGGATTCCATGCCCACAGTCCAGGGCCTTTACTGTCCCCATTGAAGTCACCAATTATCTCCATGTGGTTAAACCCTGCTGGCTCTTGTCAGAGCTCATCCTGGATGAACACCCAACATTGTTGGCCCTTCTTTACTCACTGAAACACTGTCTTACTTTGGTCTCCATGACAACACACTTGCCTGGCTTCCTTTATTTCTCTCGGGCCATTTCTTCTTAATCTCCCTGGTCAGTTCCCTCTCTTATATTCAATTGTATAGTGTAGGAATTCTTTCAGAGTTGGATATTAGACCCTCTTCCATTGTATTTTTTTGGTAGTTTTTTTCATCTTTATTGTTGAAAGTATTACATATGTCCCCCTTTCACCCCCATTGACCCCTCTAGCGGACCCCACCCCCTGCCCCAGGCCTTTACCACCCTAAAGTCTGTGTCCATGGGTTATGCATATAGGCATACAAGTTCTTTGGCTGATCTCTTCCCACCCACCTACTCCCACCTTCCCTCTGAGATTCAACCGTCTGTTCTTGCTTCTGTGTCTCTGGATCTGTTTTGTTCAACAGTTTATTTTGTTCCTTAGATTCCACATATGAGTAAGATCATGTGATACTTGTTATTATAATCTTTCCTCAGTATAAACTTTCACCCTAGGTGTCCTTATCCATTCTTGTAGCTTTACTTACCATTCATTTGCCAATGGCTCCAAAATTTATATTTCCACCCAAGATCTTAATTCTGACCACCAGATCCACATATCTCATTGCCTACTTACAAACACCTCAAATTTAACATATCCAAAAGTAAATTCATATTTCCACCAAAACCTACAATTTCTCTGTTGTTTCTTTTCTCAGCAAATGATTCTACAATCTGTAT